TCAGAGGAGCAGGTCTTCAGCAATGTCGGCTGCTTGACCACTAGGCAAAGTCGCCCTTGGGTGTTCAGAGATGCTGCTCCATGTGGCTTTCTCACGGGAACAGGGTGAGACCCCGACAGCTTCATCAAGTCACAGGGCCTGTTGGCAGCAAGCAGGAGCAACAATGAGGAAATGCGCTTAGCTAAAAATGCATGTGGCAAAGCTGAGCTGAAGCTGTGACAGATAGCTGAGGGGCCTAGTGTGGTAATGGGGACTGAGTGCCTGCCCACTCTTGCCTCTGGAGTGGGATGCAGGCAGCCACATGTGATGGATGACAAGCAATTAGGGAGGCGTGCACATCCAGAGTGGGCCCGCTGGCTTCTATTTGCCCGCCGTTTAGGGCCTGGTCACGTTCCCAACATGAGCTCTCAAGTGGGAGCTAATCAATGAATTAGCACCTTACAGCATGTCTGGGCCCTGGGCTGGTTGTACAATGGCCTTCAGAATCACCAAGGAGCAGACCAGGAAATGTTGGCCAGCGGAACAGCCAGTCTGCCTTTAGGTAAACCTTGTAAAACAGGAGCCTCCAGGAGTGACAGTCACTGAGCAGAACCCTCTCCAGGATGGCAGAGAAGCGTGACCTGTCTCTGACAGGAGGTGGGGAAATGTGGAGGTGGCAGCGTTTCCATAAACATGTAGGCAAAGCTGCAGAGGTTCAGAGTTGGGCTCTCCAGGGCCCTGTCCAAGCTTCCATGCAGGTTAGAAGCCCTGATTTGAGCCCCCTCCTTTCTGACTGGCTGGTTGCTCTGTCCTACCATCTGAGGGAGGGAGCCATAGCAGCCCACCCCTCCCTGGTTCCTCAGCAGCTGTTGAAGGTCCCAGGTGGGGCCATGGAAGAGTAAATCCCAGGATCCTGGAGGACGGGTCAGGCTTTCTAAGCTGCTTGGAGGCCCTCACACACCGATGTTCCCAGCATCTCTTGGCACAGAACCAAGAAGCTGTATGTGGCCTCTGTCGCCGTCCTACCGTTTGTTGCATGAACATTGCTAGAGCGTCTCCTGGGAGCCGGGCCCGGACCCTGCAGGCTCACGTCTCAGGCGACATGCTTGGGGCTCCGAGAGGCCCAGTGGGGTAGAAGCAAGAGCTACTGGAGACCGGTTCTGCTATTTAGTTGCTCTGAAACTATGAACATTCTCTTCCATTCAGCCAAAATATATTAGGCACTATTGTAGGTTGGATTTTGTCCCTCTAAAAGATATGTTGAGGTTCTAATCCTGGTGCCTATGAACTTGACCTTATTTGGAAATGGTGTCTTTGCAGATGAAGTCAAGTTAAGAGGGGGTCATGCTGGACAAGGGTGGGCCCCTAATCCAATGTGACTGGTCCTGATACAAAGAGGAGAATGCCCTGTGAAGAGAATGATATACAGGAAGAATGCCGTGTGACGACAGAGGCCGAGATTAGGGTGAAGCAGCTGCAAACCCAGGTGCCAAGCCAGCCGCCACCAGGAAGAGGCAAGGCAGGGTTCAACCCAGAGTCTTGGCGGGGCGTGGCCCTGCGGACACCTTGGTTCTGACTTTTAGCACCAGAACTGGGAGAGATTGAATTTCCGTTGTTTTCAGCCACCCAGTGTGTGGTCCTTTGTTCCAGCAGGCCTAGGGAGCTCATACACAGGCACTTGCTGTGCTCTGGGTGTTGTGCTGGGGGGGGGTGTATGTGGTGGAGGGTTTGGGGACAGATAGAGCAGAAGGCAAGTAGACAAGACCTGTCCTCACTCAGTCACTCATCCACTCAGCTGTAAATTTTAGTGGACATTTACTCTCTGTGCCAGGCATTGAGCTGCGTTGTAGCAGTTAATGGAATTGACCAAACTTCCCCCTTAAGGGAGTTTACATTCTAATAGGGAGAGACAGACAAGAGCATAATGATAGATAACCACCACAGGGGCGTAAATGGCACATTAAATGGTGACAGGTGCTGGGTGGGGGCCAGTACAGCTGGGAGAGGCTGGGGTTCACACAGGTGGTGGAAGCCACCCTGAGAAGGTGCCCTGTGGACTAGTTCTCAACCCTGGCTGCGCATAGCATCACCAGGGACGCTTAAAATAAAACAGCAAAAAACAATCGATGGCAGAACCCCGCCCCAGGCCAACTATGTTGAACTCTGGGGGTGGGGCTCTGGACCACTCCTTATAAAAGCCCCCAGGTGGTCTGACAGGCGCTGGGTCTGAAAACCACCAGCCCAGCAGGATGAGAGCTGCAGCGGGGAAGAGTGCTCTCTGTGGCCCAGCGAGGCTACCCGTGGAGAAGGAGAATGGTCCAGGCCTGTCCCCGTCCTAAAGGGCAGGCAGACACCTACCTGTCCTGCCCGAGTGGCTAGGGAAGCTTGGATAGGTGCCCATGACTTACACTCATTCACCTCACACTTCCTGGAGCGGCCCATTCTCACTCTTCTTCTCTTGCCTCTGCCAAGACTGGAGACTTACCCCCTCCCTTCTGGGACCTTAACAGCCTGGGGCCCAGAGTGGAACCCCTGCTGGGCCTGGAGTCACTGGCTTTGCCTTTGAAATAGTGAGGTCGGCTGGCTGTGCTCCTTGACCCTGGAGCAGCCAATTTTGCCCTCAGCTTGACTTGGCTTAGCTTTCCTGTGAGTTAAAGATTTCCAGAACAACTATGTAACCGGTGCTTTTCATAGACTAGGAGAGACTTTTCTTTCTTCCCGGGGGGAGTGGGGCAGCGGCCAGGATGGGGGCCACTCTTAGTTAGGGAGCCCAGACCGGGGTCGGGGCCTGGCGGCAGCTCCTCACTCACTCCTTTCGCACCCAGAGTGCGGGAGGCTGGAGACTCCCCCGGGCAGGCGGGCAGGTGGGCAGGCGGGCAGGCGCTGAGCCCGTCTGCCTGTCAGACACCAGGCATCAAAGCTTGGTGGTGACTCACAGCTGCCTTTCATCTTCTGAGCATAGCCTGGCCAGCAGCAGCTCCTCTGATGTCCGGAGTCCTGTGGCCTGAAGGGACAGTGTCTCTCTTCTCTGCCCCCCCTGCTCCCCACCTTTTCTCTTTCCCCTCATTTGTCTCCTCTCTCATCACATCCCCCCCCCCCCCCCGCATTTCCTCACTCTCTTAGGCTTTCCCCCTGCAGTTGTCTGGCTGACCCAGGCTTGGGACCTGGGGGCGGCCCTTGGGGGCATTCCCGGGGAGGGGTCACTCCCCTGCGGCCCAGCCTGTCCCCCAGCCTTTCCCTCCACATGGGCTGGCAAGCAGCTGCTGAGCGTGTACCCTCTTGATGGAGTCCTGTACTCGCCTACCTGCGGCAGCCCACGTGTCCCTCGCCTCTGTCTGCCTCGGATACAATGCCAGGGCAGAGAATTATGACTTTATTCACTTAAGATGACTGTAGGCCAACGGACAGCATGATATTTATTGGTTGAACTCCTGGGTTCTGGCGCCAGTTTGCCTGTGTGGCTTTGGGCAGGTGACTCAACCTCTCTGTGCCTCAGTTCTCTCATCTGGAAGAGCAGGGGACTAACCTCAGGGTGGTTGTGAGGCTTAAATGAGTTAACATGAAGTGCTTAGAACAGTGCCCCACTGTTTTAAAATGTAGGTTTTAGTATTCAAGTGTGATGAGTCCAGGAGATGATCTCCATCGGAAAGATAGTCTGTCACAATTCTCAAGAGGTGAGGGCTGGCGCGCTGTGGGCGGCCAGGCCGGGAAGCCTCAGGGGCAGGCAGGAGGCAGGGTGAGGGGAGAGTGTGGACAAGGGCCTTTACTGGGGGAAGGAACAGGTGAGGCGCGGTTAGCAGGCTTAGGGCTGCCCTGGGCTTGCTGGTGCCTGTCCCTGGGGTGACTGGGGCAGGGGACCAGTGGGCGGGGAGTGACAGCCTGCCTGGGGGCGGGGGCTCTAGACCATGAGGTGTGCTGTTGATGTCTCTAGGAACTGCCTAGCCTGGGAGGGATGGGCTCCCCAGGGTGAGTAAGGCCCCAGATGTCAAACATCAGAATAAAAAGACATGCTTAACGCGCCCACGCATTTTCAGAACGAAATGACAAAATATGTTTAGTTCTACATTGTCACTTTAAAGTGGGACTGTCGGTCCTGGAGCCTCAGGAGCCCGTGGTGTGATGGAAGGAGCCCTGGCCGTTGCTGGGGGTGGGGGTGGGGGCCCGACGCACTGCTGCCTCCGGCTTCTTCTGTGAGAGGGACACGGCCAGCTCTGGAGCTTCGGGCCGCACCTCGGTACAGGAGAGTCCGTACATTTTCGTGTCCACTGCAAGAAGGAAATGCTAGGGGCCCTTCCACATTCTGGCCCTGGGGCCTTCTCTGGGTTTCTGTTATGAAACAAAAGGAAGGTGTTTCAATCTCGGAAACAAGAGCTTCAGAAACATAAGAGATCCACAGTGTGCAGCGTAGGGACCAGCTGGTGCGTTTAATGGGTGCTGAGGGGTGAGACTGGAGGAGCTGGTGGGGCAAGCTGGGGCCTTCCAGAGGTGCTTCTTGGCTGTGTCTTTCTCTATCTCTCTGCCCTGGGTCTCCTTTAGCCTGCCCCTTCTGGAGGATTTCTTTGGGATAGAGATTCCCTTGTGTATGAAGTGAGGCCGCCATTAGGTCTTGAAACACTCTCCAGAATAGAGGGATCACAGGCTCCCATCCTCAGGTCCAGCCACCTTGAGGGGAGCAGCTCTGGGGTCACACACAGGCTGACCCAGGGGGTGCTGGAGAATTGGGGGCCGGGCCCCTGTCTGTGGTAAACTCAGGCAGGCACACCCTCCCAGGCCCTTTGCGCCCCCACCCCCCACCCCCTGGGTGGTGGTGAGAATACAGAAGGAAGGACTGGAGGTGTCAGCAGGGCGAGGGCAGCATTCTCGGGACTCCAAGGCTGGGGCCTCTGTGCCCTCCCCAGCAGCCACGTGGAGCTTCCCGGGACTCGTGCTGGCTGGCAGCCCTCCTAAGGCCAAGGGCGAGCCTGGCTGCATCCCCCTGACCTTCCGCCCTCAATGGGGTCTTCCTCCACCTGTGTCCCCAGCATCCTGTTTGCTGACATCGAGGGCTTCACCAGCCTGGCATCGCAGTGCACCGCCCAAGAGCTGGTCATGACCCTCAACGAGCTCTTCGCCCGCTTCGACAAGCTGGCTGCGGTGAGTCACCCTGTCCGTGCCCTCGGGCACCCAGTGCCTGAGCCAGGGCCAGCAGGGTGGCCGGGTCTGGGCTGCCTGAGGGAGGGTGCTGTGGTCAGGGACCGGGTGAACCCCAGGGACAGGCACTGTGCCAGGGCGTGCCCTGCGGGGCAGAGCCTGCCACTGGGGACTGGCGGCTGGCAACCGTGGCTGTGTGCCCTCCCACCCTGTGTCAGCCCCGGCCACACACTCAGCTGGAGATGCTTTCTCAGAGTCACGGATCTGAGGGAGCAGGTAAGTGAGCCCACCCTCAGTGCAAGGGGGTGGTGAGGCCTGCAGGCAACACTGCCCAGACCCCTGAGGAATTTCTCTCCAGTGTGGGGCCAGTTAGGTGGCGTAGAGCCACTGTCCTGATGCGGCTGGCCTGAGTGGTCTGCAGACAGCTGGAGAGGACTCTCCAACCGTGGGACAGAGTGGAAGCAGCACCCCGGGGCAGGGAGGGGTGGGTGGTACTTCCTCCATTAGTCCCCATTTCCCAGCTTTCGTGGCTTGGGGTGATGCTCTGGGCCCCTGTGGAGCCCCTGTATGTCAGGGGCCACCCACTGTCGTGGCCCAGCGCGCGGCCAAGTCCCCTTTGCCCTCTGCAGGCACTAGTGCTGGGCCGCACCCCGCCCATTGTTTCACCACGGAACGCGGCCTCGGGGAATAGGTCACGCCTGGCACGCGGGCATGGGTGAGCCTCAGATGAGTCCCGGTGCCCAGCTTCATAAAGGGACTTCCTCGGGGCGGACTTGGGCAGCTCCGAGGGGTGATTAATGGCCTTCCGTCTCAGTCCCAGTCCCAGTCCCAGAGGGGCTTGCCGGGTGACTCTGCTGAGCTGTTAGTGTTACTGTGGCTGGCACCTCAGCCCTGTGGGTGTCTTAGCACTTACTTGCTGGTTGAGCAGCCTCTTTTTTTTTTAAAGATTTTATTTATTTATTTTTAGAGAGGGGAAGGGAGGGAGAAAGAAAGAGAGAGGGAGAAACATGGTGTGAGAGAGAAACATCGATCAGTTGCTTCTCGCACGTGCCCCAGCTGGGTGCAGAACCCGCAACTCCGGCGTGTGCCCTGACCGGGACTGAACGGGCGGCCTTTCACTTTGCGGGTGACGGCCAGCCCACCGAGCCACACCGGTCAGGGCTTTTCTTTTGCTTTTGCTTTTTCCTTTTTTAAGATGTTATTTATTGAGCAGAACTCTTTGATAAAAACTCAGGCAGAGAGTCAGGCAAAGTTGCGGTTAAATCTTATTTCTTCTTTATTCTAATCATAAAAGGAGAAAAATCAGAACCTTAGGCCCGGAGTCAAGGCCTGCTCCAGGGGGTGTGGTGGGGCGGGGGACACTGCCGCTCAGCCTAGGCCTTCCTCACGCTGACCTGCCGCGTCTGCCCGGGTTGCTGCCCTAGAGTGGAGGAAGCCGGACTGCTCCCCAAGGGCTGCCCAGCCTGTCCTCTGTCCCCCGAGGCTTCGGATAGGCCTGTCCCGGGACGGGGCCCCCCATCGTGGGATGCCCGCCCTGGGTCTGTGCTCACTGCCCTAAAAGGCAAGCTATTCCAGGCATGGAGTGAATCTGTTTGCTTCCAGTTTTTTACCCTCCCACTTCACTGTCCTGCTATTTTTAATTTTTAAAATTAATTTGCTTTCCAGGAGAATCACTGTTTACGTATTAAGATCCTGGGGGATTGTTATTACTGCGTCTCGGGGCTGCCTGAAGCGAGGGCCGACCACGCCCACTGCTGCGTGGAGATGGGCATGGACATGATTGAGGCCATCTCGTAAGTGCCTGTCTCCAGGGGGAGACTGTCCATCTCCAGGAGTGCTGTCCTGTCTCCAGGGGGCCTGTCTGTCTACAGGGGGACTGTCCACAGCCCAAGGGATGGACTGGCTGGCCACCGGGTTGGACGGACAGAGGAGGGAAGCAGTGGGGCAAAGCCATCTCCCAGGACCATCCAGCCTCATGGGAGGGCTGATTTGCACCTGCAGGCGTTGAGCCTTCTCCTGGGCTCCTTTCGCCCACAGCAACCTGGGAAGCTGCTGCCTGAGGAGCATGTCCTGCAGGAAGGGAGGGCTTGGCGGGAGGTGGGGCTGCACCTCTGCAGGAGCGGAGGATGCGCCGCAGCAGGCCGTGTGGCCCTGCACTGCAGTCTGTCATGTCCTCTCGCCATCACTCAGCCAGCATGGACCCCCCAAGACGGGGAAGGTTGGGCTAACGGGGCGAACAGCTTTCCAGGGTGATACGCCAAGGCAGGGGGAGGCAAACACAGGTGTCCCCCTTTCACGAAAACCCATCCTTCCTGGGAGTGCAGGAAAAAGGATGCTGGCCAACTCTTGGGCATTGTCGCCATAGAAGGAGCCCTGGTCATTACAAGTCATGGACAACCCAAGCTTAAATGTCATCTGGGGGCAGGTCGTAGGTTGCATCTGGGTTCAGTAACTTTGAGCGTTAGATGTCTGGGCAGAGGCAGAGGTCAGATTAGCAGGCCAGGAAGTGGCCCGATTTGGTTCGGTTCCATTGGGCAGTGTTTGCTGAGTGGTCCCGAGGGCCCGGGCTAGCCAGTGGGTCCCTCACCCAGAAGCATGGGGTCCGTTGAGGGAGAGAGGCTGGGACCCTACTGTCCTGATAGCAGGCATGCCGAGTGCACACCTGCTATCACCGGGAGACCAGCCTCTGTCTGGAAAGGGAGACCAGCGGTGGTGGGAGGTGTCACGGAGGCAGCCATCGATTCCATCGAGAGGACCTACAGGGGATTCCTGAAGAGGTGGCCCTGGAGTAAGCCAGGAAGGTAGAATGAGATACCATCCACCTAAGCAAGCTGCCAGAGGCATTGTGGATGGAAGGAATGGCTCCAGTCAAGTAGTTGCAAGGTTGGTCCCGGGACAAGAGAAATGGCAGATGACATAAAGCTCCCCTGGGGTGCATGTCAGCCTCTCCCTCATGAGGTGGGCCGGAGTTCTCGCGGTCAGACTGCTGGCCCACAGCTGGATGAGTGGGCTTTCCCCCAGGGTGTCAGGGAGGTCCAGGTCCCTAAAACGTGCACACTGTGTCCCCTTTCGCAGACCCTGGGAGCCAGGCACATCCTGGAGATGTGTAGCCTCTGTCCTCCTCCCCTTCCTGCAGAGGGCCCACCTTCTCCCGGGCCCCGTGGGTATGCAGTGCACATAGCAGGGACTGGGGCGGGCTTCTGGTGCACAGAGGACACCTAGTCCCCTGGCCCTGCCGGGGCTCCCCTTCTTTCCTGAGCGGACATGTGTGTCCTCTTTTACCCACCCCCCCGCCTCTGTTCTCCCGCCATGTGCATCAATCTAAGAGCATTATATGATGGGGTTTGTATTGGCTGTAACTTCCCCGTCTGGCTCAATCCCGCACTAGTGTTCATTTGCATTTTCGGAACACAATTTAATTGACTGAGAGTAGCAGTGGCCCCAGGTGCCTCAGTGAGGGGAAGCTGTGGGGCCTAGGGTTTCGTGTGAGCTGCTGCGCCACCTTGTGACCAAGCCGGGAAGCCTCGCCTCTCACAGGTCACAGCCCCTGAGCTCCGGGGCCCCGCCCCGCCCCGCCCTGCCCCGCCCTGCCCCGCCCTGCCGGTTGAATGGTCTCAGGCTGGGTTTGGGTTGGCCCGGTGAGAAATGACTCTTTGACCCCTGCATCTTCTGACAGCCCCTGACCCCCTGCTTTCCAGCCTCACCCTCACTCTGTGTGCCTGGCCCCTGACCCCCTCCCAGCCTCACCCCTGCTCCATCCCCAGGTTGGTCCGGGAGGTGACGGGGGTGAACGTGAACATGCGCGTGGGAATTCACAGCGGGCGAGTACACTGCGGTGTCCTTGGTCTCAGGAAGTGGCAGTTCGACGTCTGGTCTAACGACGTCACGCTGGCCAACCACATGGAGGCCGGAGGCAAGGCTGGGTGAGTGAGGGCGCCGGCGGGGCCCAGACGTGGCCTCCACCCAGGCCCACTTAGGGTGACTGTGAGGATCTGGGCTGGGGTGAGCAGGGGGGAGAGGCTTGAAATCCTGGGGTTGGTAAACTTTAAGCAGAAATTCTTCAACTTGAAAAATTACTTACACAACACAGGGCAAGTTGCAGAGCCCGTCAGGTCAACTTTACCAAGATACAGTGGGCAGGGCAGAGTTCTAGAGGGGGAGGAACCACAGATAACTTCGGGGGTCCCCAGGACAGAAAAGAGGTGGAATGTGACCCGGCCTGGACGGTGGGCAGGGCTGGACAGGCGAGGCCAGTGGGGCTGGAGAGCATCACCCAGGCTGAGGGTTGGGGCAAGGGCAGACACAGGAGAGGGAAACACAGTGTTCCAAGGAACGGAAGCCGAGCAGATGGCCTTTTAGGGGCACAGGTGAAAAGCCTACGCTAAGAAGGATGTGTATGCCAGGCGAGGATTTGGACACAGCTGACAGTAGGAGCCACTGCTGGCTCCTGAGCAGGTTTGCAAAGTCTGAGACTGCAGGCCGTGTCCTCCTGGCAGGCTAGTGATGTGTTATACACTTATAACGATATGTCATAGACGTGAGACAGTGCGGTTGTGGTGGGCACGGGCTGGGCGGGCCCTGCCTGGGGCCTTTTGGTGGCATTGGAGGCACACAGGACGTCGAGGTGGGGATTGAGCTTGGGGTCCGCCTCTGAGCCAGGCTTTGAACCGTGGTTGCGTGGCTGCAGTTGGGTTCTGCTAGCAGCTACAGTTCTGAGTTCAGATTTCCTCCTCCCCTCCTGCTTCCCGCCCCACCTGCAGACGCATCCACATCACCAAGGCCACACTCAACTACCTGAACGGCGACTACGAGGTGGAGCCGGGCTGCGGGGGCGAGCGCAACGCCTACCTCAAGGAGCACAGCATCGAGACCTTCCTCATCCTGCGCTGCACCCAGAAGCGGGTCCGGGGGCTGGGCCGGGAGGCTTGGGGGCTTCAGTCTTTGGGGAGGGATGTTTCTTGGCCTGCTGCTGCCTTCTCTCCTCGAGTCTAGTCATGAATTCCTTACGCAGTCGCAGTTCCCGCATCTTGGGGAGGACATCAGAGTTACAGGGGCCCTGCAAAGGCTGCTGGCAAAGAGGGAGTGTTTTCACTTGGCTTCTGTTGAAAAAACGTTCAGGCCTCGGGTCAGTTAGCAACAGTGCCTCAGAAGGTCGGGAGCCAGGAGGAAGCCTCACGGAGACCCCTGCCTCGCTCCTCTCCCTCCTTTCCTGTTGCCCGAACTGAGCAGACTTTGTCCCTTCTCTCTCTCTCTCTCTCTGTCTCTCTCTCTGTCTCTCTCTCCCCACCCCACCTGTACTCGTGTATCTGTTTCTTGGCCTCAGTCTTTTCTTTCACTTTCTAGTTTCTTTCTCCATCTTCCCTTTGTCTCAGCCCACACTTACCAAAATATAAAACTGAATTATCAGCAGACTGCAGTGTTCTATTTCTAATAGTGTCATGTTCCAAGTTCTTAATTTTTAAAGTGAATGATGAGAACACTTTCTGTTTCGCCCTAGATTAAAATGCCTTTTACTTATGAATCTTTTAGTTGAATTTATCTGTTAGTCAGAGCCCTCTAACAGAGAAAAGCTTTCCTTTCTCTCCCCTAAGAAGTCAGACTAAAGCCATAATTAAGCTGTGAGAGAAGTTGGGGGAGTCTTGGATGGAAGCAAAAGTAGGTTTTTAAAGGGAGGCTGGTGTCTTGGGGGCAGATGCCAACCCCGGGAGGGGACATCAGAGGGCAGGCACCTTGTCCTGCTCAGCAGGGTGCCCAGGACATGGACCCAGGCTACAGGGGCCTCTGGGGGCGCTGTGTCAGGCCCCTCACAGACACCAGGAAGAGGATGGGAGGAAGCGGGGCACTTGGGGGAGAGCTCCTAGGGGCTCAATTGACACAGTTAAACATTTGCTTGTTGTTTGGCTAGAGTGTAGAAGAACTACAACGGTCCCAGGCCCTCTGCCCATATCCCTCCTCTCTACCTCTTCACAAGGCCTCCAGCAGCGCCCCCTGCCTGCCCTCTACCCTGGGTTCTCTGGGTCTGGGTTCTTCCAGCTTGACAGGTGGTCCAGAAAGGATGAAATGGAAACACAGAGACTCACAGACAGTGACCCCCGGGTTCAGGGAGGGAGCTGTGGGGAGGTTGCCTCAGGCCTTCTCAGGGGCTCTCCAAACCTTCAGGGGAGCCTGTTTGGAGGGATGTGTGGACAGATGGATAGATGATCATGGCCAGCACGTGGGTGGCTGGCCGAGGCCCTGCTGTGCATTTGCACCATGCACACCAGCCTTTGCGTTTCATCTTCCAATGACCCTGACCTGTGGCAGCTGCTTTCTGGGCAGCAGGGCCTGCCCTGCTGCCCACTCTGCTAGGACATGCCTGTAAGTGGAGTGGAGTTGAGAGAAAATCCCAGGTTTTCTCTCCCTCTGTCACCCGGGTATCTACAGATCCAGGCTCCGCCCACCCCTGAGAATTCCCTGTGAGTGACAGATGTTCCCAGGCCCATTGCGTTCTCCCAGGACCCACCTCATTGCCTCGTTCTGCCACTCCCACCGGGGCCAGCCAGGGCCAGTGCTGGGGAGTCTTGGGAATTAGGAGGCTTTCTTGGGTGAGCTCTAGGATCTTGGAAGACTTCTGGGCTCCAGGCTGTGCAGAGAAGAGAGGAGCAGCTGCCTTAACCCCTGGGTGTCTGGCCAGGCACCTGGGAGGAAGGAGAAACTCCACACGGGGGCCCATCTGGTGGGCCCTGGCCACAGGCTGATGCATCTGTGTTGCTCTCCCAGAAAGAAGAGAAGGCCATGATCGCCAAGATGAATCGCCAGAGAACCAACTCCATCGGACACAACCCGCCGCACTGGGGGGCCGAGCGCCCCTTCTACAACCACCTGGGCGGCAACCAAGTGTCCAAGGAGATGAAGCGGATGGTGAGTGCCGGGCAGGGCAGTGTGTGGGCCACACCCCCTGGGGTGGCCTCCTGGGGGTGTGAGGGCTGGGCCAGGCCCCTGGTGCTGCCGAGGGAATCCGGACGGCCACAGAAGGAACCACTGGAAGTGGGCTCACCCCAACTTTGGACTAGGAGCCAAAGTGCCTGACTCCTGGCCTTAGGCTCTCCCCATGAGCTCCACCATCTCCTGGCATGCCAAATTTGGCTTTGGAACAGAGTAGTGATGCCCCTTCCTCCCTGGTGCAGGCTGGAAGCAGGCCCAGCTGGCTGGACCCAGGGTGAGGCCCTGGGGAGCTGGGTGGACATCAGCTGGTCAGACGTGTCTTCCAGCACCTGTGGCATTTGCTGGCAGTTGACTCAGATGTTCAGAAACCATCCCAGTACTTTCTGGCAAGTGCCAAGTGATGGTCGCCTTTGCCCACTGTGCTGAGAAACACACCTGCTAACTCCAGCTGGCTGGTGGGTGCGAGCGGGCTGGGTGAGTGGAGGCTGAGGTAGGGTGCTACCCCCATCTCAAGGGTCCCTGCCTGACTCGGGGGACAGGTACCCTCAGCGTCCCTGCACACAGGAGGGACGAGCTAATTCGAGACGTGTTGCTCAGGTCTCTCAGCGATGACAGAAAGGAACCGGGGGGCGGGAAGAAGAGGGATGACAGGAGTCCGGGACAGCAGTGTGTTCCTTTCCTTCCCCTCCCTCCCCAGAGCTCAGGGCAGCCTGGCTTCCAGGCAGGGCCCCCACCTTGCCGAGGGGCCAGCTGAGGAGCGAGGGTGCAGGGATTGGTGTGTGGCCACGCACCTCCCACGGAGCAGGGTGCAGGGATGAGTGGGGTGCACACGCTAGAGCTCCTCGTCCGGGGTCTGCGGATCAGACTGGGTTTCAGTTGCAGCAGTAGGGGTGAGAGGCAGACCCCACAGGCATTCAGGGGACTGAGCCAGGAGCCTGAGGGAGGGGACAGCCTCAGACCCAGGCACTCTGCTCTTTGCCAGCTAGCAAGTAGCAGATGACAAGGGTTTAAGGAAAGTGTATGGGAAAAATAATGAATTGGGTCAAGACCTCCACTTTATTTTTGATGGTAAAGAATTGACTTGCAGGACACCAAGGTTTTGAGGGAGCAGAGTGGGAGAGGCCCAGGCTTACCCCTGAGCTTTGAACTTGGACTTCCACAGTGTTGTCCGGGGCTCCAGCCACCCCGCTCCTTCCCTCAAGGGCCCTCCCAAGAGCAAAGAGCTGTCTGTGGGCCCTCCTGTTCTCACCCCAGCCCTTTAGTAATCTTCTAGAGACTCTGTGCCCACAAGACCGGGGTGGCCCAGAGCGGGTGAGGAGAGGGGAGAGACTGATAGCAGGGTGGAAGGAGTGAGGCTCTGATCCCTGCGGGAAGAACGAGAGGAACAGGGGAGCAGGAAGACAGGGAGAGGGTAAGGGGGGGAGGAAGCAGGAGAGGAGGGAGTGTGGGGAAGGAGGAGACGATGGAGTAATCAAGGTGAAGAGGAGGAGCCACCAGCAGGCAGGAAAGGTGCCTGGGGGTACTTTATGTATAAAATCTGTGGAAATTTTTTTCTTTAGTGATATTTGGTATAAGTGGGACTTTTTGGTTATTTCAGAGCCTCAGAGGCAGTTCGGACAATAAACACCAGTTTGGCAGGCACGTTACTCAGCGTTAGGACACGGAACTTGGAAGAGTTAACACAAGGGCCGGACCCGACCTCGGGCTATCTCGGGGAGACTGGCTGCAGGCAGGGCTGCTTCAGGGTGTCAGTGGCCTCCCCATCCCGGCTGGGCAGAGTCACCCAGGGGGCCGGCATCTGAGTGCCCACCCCTGGCGCCCTGGGATGCCCGGGCAGTGTCTGGGCTGGGGGTGGGACAGGTCACAGCTGTCCTCCAGCCCACCACTGGCCAGAGGAGAGCTGTGGCCCTGATTGCCCCTGAAGACATCCTGGGCATGGGGCGGGGGTGGGCATCAGGTGCAGCAGGGGCTGAGAGCAGAAAGGTGCTAACTTGTGGTCAGGGGTTTATTTCTTTAAATCTTTTTCCAACTTTTAGTCAGCTTTTTAAACATAGCCATGGCCACGCTGGTGTGTGTAGGCACAAGAGTTGTAATAAGGTCCCTGATTTAGTATTAGCTAGTAAGGTGGGCAGGGTGAGTGTGGAAAGACTTCTGAGAATCTGACCAGGCCTGGGGAAGCTCTGCATGGCAAGGGGGTCGCAGGCGGGGCCCCAGGACCCGGGGGAGACGAGCAGCGTCACGCTGTAGTGGTCCAAACCTGAGGCTGTGCCTCAGTGTGGACGGCCATGACCTCTGCTCTTGCTGTAGGTCTGACGGGGAGGACTCAGGAACCACACAAATCCCTGAGCTGAGCTGCTCCCCAGAAGTGCTGAGGCACAAACCGTAGAAACCCATCTGAGGGTCCCCCTATCCTGGCTGAGGACTGTTGCCCTAGAATGAGTAAGCAGGTTCAGGGACTTGAATTCAGTCTGCCGGATGATGTTCTTAACGGTTATCTGCCACGGTTTACGGACCAAAGAGTTTCTGACGTGTCAGCTCTCCACCCCACGCGGTTGCTGAGCTCTACACACCAACGTGGCCCCAAGCGTGCTCAGGGTGGGCCTGGCCCACACACCAGCCGCAGCAGACCACCAAAGGAGCGCCAGACAGTGAGAAACAGATTTATTGGAAACACGTCAGGAATAGTTCTGACCTATCGAGAGCAGCATAGGCATAGTGAAGCTCGGTCATTCGCAGCCCTGGAGCAAAATCATTGCCAGCCCCTGAGCTGGGATTCACGGGCCCACCATGTCCCTTCATGTTCTACAGGGAGCTGGCCTGGCCAGGCTCCGCTGCCTGCTCACATTTGTGTTCTGGGGGTCCCTGGATGGCCAGCAGGGGCCTGCACCAGACGGAGCTCTCACCTGAGTGTCACTGACTCCTCCAGCCTGGGGCCGGGGCAGTGAGGTGGGCTGGGTCTTGCAGCCTGGATGGAAGACCTGGTGATTCTCAGAGGATGGGAGGCAGCTGCCAGGCAGCCTGGGAGGAGCTCAGAGCCCACAGTGGGGCACTTGGAGGTGCCACTAGAGGCTGTGGAGGCCTCTGGGAACCCTCTGCTGAAGGGGTGAGGGTAGCACAGAGATAGAGCCCCTCGATGCCATTAGGACCCGTCACTCTTAGTGCCCAGCAGCTCTAGTTCATGGAGACCAATATAAACCCTGCTTTTGGTATTTTCAAGCCATAGGACAAGCCACAGGAATGAAGAGGGGTGTGTTCACTGGGCTTTGGGTTTACCCAGCATACACCAGCCTCCCTGTCTGCACAGCAGCGTGCTCCCTGCCAGGCCGCAGAGGTGAGAGGCTGTCCTCTGGCCTCGTCCTGGCACCCAGAGCCTTACTGGAAACTGCCAGTGCTGGCCTCTTGTCACCTCCCCCACTGCCCCACTCCATCCCTTCCTGTTTCAGGGAACCCTCCCTCCAGTCCTCCACACTGTGGACTCTATAGATCCACTTGTGTTCGGACTTTGAGTTTGGCAACCAGCAAGGGACTTTCCCACTCTCACCCCAGCCCAGCGTCTGGGAGCATCAGAGCAGCAGTCAACCCGAGGGCCCAGCGGGCTCCTCACTGCTGGGTCCTTCCAGGAACATGCTGGCCCTCAGGCACCAGAAAGCTGCTGTGGGTAACCTGAGTTCAGTTTCCTTAAGTCAAGTCTTGTGAACTCCTGGGAGATTTTATTTATTTTTTAAAAACATATTTGATTGATTATGCTACTACAGTTGTTCCTGTTTTTCTCCCTTTCCCCCCTCTGCCCGGTACCCATTCCCACCAGCATTCCCCACCCCTTATTCATGTCCACGGGTCACATACAAGTTCTTTGGCTTCTCCATTTCCTGTACTATTCTTAACGTCCCCCTGTTCTATTCTGTATCTACCAATCTGTACTTCTTAATGCACTTTTTCCCCATCCTCCCCTTTTCCCCTCAACTGATAAGCCTTCAAATAAGCTCCATGTCTATGATTCTATCTATGACTCTGTTTCTGTTCTGATTTTTTGCTTAGTTTGTTTTTTAGATTCAGTTGTTGATAGTTGTGAGTTTATTGCCACTTTAGTGCTCATAGTTTTGATTTTCTTCTTTTTCTTAAATAAGTCCCTTTAATATTTCATATAATAGTGACTTGGTAATGATGAATTCCTTGAGCTTTACCTTGTCTGGGAAGCACTTTATCTGCCCTTCCATTCTAAGTGATAGCTTTGCTGGATAGAGTGATCTAGTTTGTAGGTCTTTGCCTTTCACTGCTTTGTTACTTCTTTCCAGCCCCTTCCAGCCTGCAAAGTTTATTTTGAGAAATCAGGCAACAGTCTTATGGGAACTCCTGTGTAGGTAACTGTCTGTTTTTCTCTTGCTGCTTGTAAGATTCTCTCTTTATCTTTAACCTTTGGCATTTTAATTATGATGTGTTTTGTTGTGATCTTCTTGGGTCGATCTTGTTTGGGACTGTCTGTGTTTTCTGGACTTGTATGTCTATTTCCTTCACCAAATTAGGGAAGTTTTCAATTTCTTATTCTTTCTCTTCTCCTCCTGGTACCCCTATGATTCAAATGTTGGTATATTTGAAGTTGTCCCAGATGCTCCTTAGCCTATCCTTGTTCTTTTGGATTCTTTTTTCTTCTTGCTGTTCTAATGGAATATTTTTTTCTTCCTTATGTTCCAAATCATTGATTTGAGTCTCAGCTTCATCCACTCCACTGTTGGTTCCCTGTAAACTTTTCTTTATTTCACTTAGTGTAACTTTCATTTCTGCCTGAGTCTTTTTTATGCTGTTGAAGTACCCAGTGAATTCCTTGAGCATCCTTTTAACCAGTGTTTTGAACTCTGCATTTGGTAGATTGTTTATGTCCATTTTGTTTAGTTCTTTATTTGGAGTTTTGATCTGTTCTTTCATTTGGGCCATGTTTCTCTGTCTCCTCATTTTGGCAGCTCCCTGTGTTTGTTTCTGTGTAGTAGGTGGAGCTGCTTTGACTCCCTGTCTTAGCAGTGTGGCCTAGTGTAGAAAAGGGCACTGTAAGTTGAATGAGGTAGAGCCTTAGTCAATCACCAGGGCGGGGCAACCCATGTGAAGCAGATTGATGGAGTCTCCGATGTGGTGTTGCCGTTCTGTGTCTCTGTGTGTGGTAGTGCTCAGAAAGGGGGCAGTGCCTCTGCCTGGCCTCTGGAGTTTTGTCCAGGAGGAAGCTGTCCCCTGGCACTCGCCCTGATGCTAGACATTTCAGTTTCTCCCCGTATGCCACTGGTGTCCTTCCAGCTGCTTCCCAGTGCTGAAGCCCAGAGGGAGTGAGTCTGCAAGAAAGTCCTAAGTCTGTTGCAGTCCCTTTAAGAGGAGACTCCTAAGAATCCTGCAGTTCTTTTTGTCACCCCAAACCCCACTGTATTTTACAGTCAGAAGTTATGGGGACTCATCTTCCTGGCACTGAAACCCTGGGCTGGGTGGTCTGGTGTGGCGCTGGGATCTCTTGCTCCCGAGGTATCCCTCCCAATTTTTATCTACTGCATGTGGGATTGGGACCTCCCGTCCTATATCTCTGCGCTCAGTGCCTCTTTGTACTTCTCTGCCCCTCCTACCTGTCTGGATGAATGTGGTTTCTGTAATTCCCTGGTTGGTGGACTTCCATACAGCTTGATTTTCTGACAATTCTGGGTGATCGTTGTTTTGTAGTCTAATTGAAATTTTTGCCGTTTGTGCAAGGAGTCGAGCCATGTTTACCTATGCCTCCATCTTGACTGGAAGTCCCTTCTAAGAGATTTTATATGTGCTCAGTGGGGGTGGGGGTGAGTGTGCAAGTGGGTGTGTGCGCACGTGTGTGCACATATGTGAGGACTGATCAGCTTAGAGGTTTCTCTTATGAGTAAGTGGCAGAATTGGGAGCGGACCCTTCATACCCAAGGTCCGGACAGAAGGGGAGGGGAGGTTTGAGGAAAATGACAAGGAGTTGGGTATGGGGACAGGAAGAACTTAGACACATGAGTTTTGCCAGTGGATGAAATGAAAGCACAGTGCACTCCTAGCATCTAGCACAGAGCCTGTCCCATGGGAAGAACATAGCTGTATTCACTGAAGGAAAGAATGAAAGATGGAAGGAAGGAAGGAAGGAAGGAAGGAAGGAAGGAAGGAAGGAAGGAAGGAAGGAAGGAAGGGCTACTGAGTGACAAGCCTCCCTTATGCTCAAGTTCCTTGGTGAACTGTAGAGAGGAATGAGCTGCCCCCTTCCCACAGGCCCAGCTTTGGAAGCCTCCGTATCCAGTCCTCTCTCTTCTCATGCTCCTCTCCTTTCTTTGTCTCTTGTAGGGCTTTGAAGACCCCAAGGACAAGTGAGTAATGTGCCTTCATTATTCCTGCTCCTGGGCCTGGGGGATAGCTTCAGATCTGCCCCATAGCTTTATTTCCCCACACTCCACGGGCAAGGAGCACATGCACGTGGTCTTGACTGAGAGTGTCCAGAGCCCATGGCAGCTGAGGGATGGGCAGTCCAGGAGTGCAGGCCGCCCAGCGGAGAGGCTGGGCCCCGACATTGCCCATACATAATCTCCACTCCATGCACACACACTCTGCACATGCATGTGTACATGCACATGCACATGTGCATGCAACTCAGAAAAGTGCAGACCTTGTACAGTGGTCACACACAGCACCTGCCACATCCCAGTGCCCTGAGGGAATGTCCTCCTTCTCTTCCACTTCCCAGTTCTCACTGTCAGAAACTCCACTCAAGGACTGGGCTTCACCCTAATAAATACGTTTTTTAGTTCAGCACCCAAAGCTCATAAAACCTGCCTCCCAGGGAGCCTGAGCCAGGTTGAAGCGACCAGGCGGGTCACAGGCCCTGTGCCTGAAGTCTCCCCTCCTGATCTCAGCCTTTGTTTCTGGATGATGCTACAGCTGGAGAATAGAGCAGAGATTGTTACCTGTGGGGAGAAAACAATTAAACCTTCCATAATAACTCATTATTATGATGATGTAGTAATCTATCAATAGAGTCAGAAAAGCCTGTTGTCAGGGGGGCCCTCCAGCCAGCGGGTCCGAGACTTAGGCAGTTTTCTATGCATGCATGCAGTTGTTAGAGAGGGGGCCTTGGGCTCCCGGCCATCCTGGCCTCAGTCTCAGCTTCCCTACCCCTTATGAAGGCTGATCTTGGGCTGGTGCAGTGCCTCTCATGAGGCCCCTGTGCACAGGTAGAGCGACCCTGTGTAGGCGCCCCCTGGTGGTCAGCCTCTTGGCCGGGGTTATGCTGTCTTGAATCGGTGCCTCTTGCTCCCAGGAACGCCCAGGAAAGTGCAAACCCTGAGGATGAAGTGGACGAATTTCTGGGCCGTGCCATTGACGCCAGGAGCATTGACAGGCTGCGGTCGGAGCATGTTCGCAAGTTCCTCTTGACCTTCAGGGAGCCTGACTTAGAGAAGAAGGTACGGCACCCTGGACGGAAGGAGCCAGGCAGAGCCAGGAGCCGCGGGCAGAGCCAGGGCCCGCGGCGGGGAAACTAGGCAGCGGGCGCTCCTTCCCGTCTCCGTCACTGTTGGCAGACCCCTTCCTGTCACCTCCGTTTCCCCAGCTCTGACGCCGCTCTACCCGGGGGATGGAGGTTTCAGGAAGCCCTCCTTGTCTGGAAGGGATGAATCTTAACCTCCTTGTGCCTCAGTTTCCTTCACTGGGAAATGGAGATGTTTAGCACACCTACCTCAAAGGGTCGTAGTGAGGGTTAGACAAGTCCGTACATGTAAAACACATAAGACAGCATCTGCCACATAGCATGTGTTCAATAAATGTTAGTTGCTATTTGTATTATTTTTGTTGTGTTATTGTTATCACTAGCAATGGACCACCAACTACACTGAACCTCAAAGTATTAGAATTGGAAGGGGCAGTCAAAATCTCTTAGTCTTGTCTTCTTTAACTGTGACTGAGAGAGTACAACTCAGAGTGGTTGCTGCAGTAGCTATGCTCTGGGCCACCCAGGGAAGTAGTGACAGAGCCGGGACCAGTCCCCCTGGTTCAGGGTCCTTGTTCCAGGTCACAGGCTCTCCCCGGTGTTCGGTTAAAATGGGCTCAGTGAACCCGTGTCATCGTCGAGGGAAGCAAACCTAATCCGGAGGGAAAGTCATGGAAGGGAACTACTCTGTTCACCGGCAGTTATGGAGCTGATGTGGACCGCCTTTTCGGGGTGGCTCAGTGCCAGGCCGGCCTCTGTGCAGTGGTTGATTGGTGTTGTGGGAGGAGCTGGGGCTGGAGGTCAGGACCTTGGAGATGAGCTGAGTGATTGTGGACAAGTCTTGTGACCTCTCTGAGCCCCAGCTTACTCATCCCTGAAGCAGAAACGACAGCAGTCCTGCGCCTACTTTCTGGCGTGCTTGTGAGGTGCACAATGATGCATGCAGACGGTGCTCAGGGATTTAGCCGTGATCCTTACGAATCACTCTCCTGGTGATCTGGTCTGCAGCGACTTTCTGGTCTGACCCAGTTCAGCTCCCTTCCCCACCAGCATTGCCTTAATGGCAGTTTGGATGGGTTTCTCAAGGCCTAAGGCTAGCACTGGTTCTCAGGTCTTCCACATGCTGGGAGCGGGCTGCCCTGAGTGTGTCTGGGATGGAAGGGGCTGGAGCAGACCTGGCTGGTGCCTTTGCCACTCACTCTGCCCGTGTCCTCTCAGTACTCCAAGCAGGTGGATGACCGATTCGGTGCCTACGTGGCATGTGCCTCGCTGGTCTTCCTCTTCATCTGCTTTGTCCAGATCACCATCGTGCCCCAGTAAGTACCCTTCCTCCTGGGGTCCCTCCTATGGCTACAGGGACTGCAGGGGTGTGAGGGAGGTCTGAAGCAGAGCAGAGGTGGGAATCTGGGCTGAACTTGGTCAACAGAGAGAGGTTTCCAAACGTGTCCTCAGTGGGACCAGGAAGCTGGGAGTCTGGCCCCGCTGTGACAGGGAGGCCATGTGCTCCTTCCAGGGTGGAAACTCCTCTCTGGGTGCCACCAGGCCGTGTGGGAGGCTCCTTGTCACTCCGTCAGCTCACCATCCCACTTGAATCTACACCACTGGGCCCGTCAAATCACCCAGAGTCTTCGCCAGGCTCGCTTCTGCATGACCTTTGTTTCTTGCAAAACAAATCAGTACTTCTTCAACAGATACATGTTTTTTTGCTCCTCTGGATATTTTGAAGAATGGATTTCAGGTTCTGAAGGCTTTCTCAAAGAGATGCTCCTAGGACTGGCTGTGTCTCTAAGAGAGAGCTGTGGCTCGCAGAGGACCGCTCTGAATGGGCAGTGGCTTTTGCAAATGCTGTGGTGGTTAGTCATTCGCATCGGGTCACACCTAGGCAAGAAAGATAACCGCTCCATGTGTGTCTGTGTGTGTGCATGTACATATATGTGTGCATGCATACACATATATGAGACATCTTTTTAACTTTTTATTATGCAGTATTTCACACATACAGAAAAGTAATTGATGTAACTAATGCCCATCCCCTAGATACAACAGTTGTTGATATTTTGCTTTTCTTTCTGTTTTTCTTTAAAGCTAATGTTAGACACAAGGACATTTTGTCCCCCACAACCTCAACATGCACCTGTTTTAAGGGTGTTTTCCTTCTTCGCCACCTTGCCTCACCCTCCACCTACGGCCGTCTAACACTGAGCCCGTGCTCAGGTTCCCAGCACGTCCTCTACTGCCGGTGCATCCACGGCCAGGGTCTACGCAGGACCGCCTGGTGCATTTGGTTATGTCTTGGAAGTCCAACTTAATCCAGAAGAGTTTCCTCACCCTAATACCTTCTGTTTTTCATTTTGAAATAATTGTTGGTTTGTAGAAAAGTTACAAAAGTATTGCAGAGAGTTTCTTTATTTCCTTCATCCTGTCTCCCTAATGGTGGCCTCTTACGTAACCCAAGTAGAACAGTCAAACCCAGGAAGCTAACACTGGGACAGTCCTTCTGACTGCTCCACAGACTGTGCGCTGATTCTGCCAGCGTCACCCCGAATGGCCTTTGTGCGGCCCAAGAGCCAGTGCAGGGCCCCCACGTTGTGTCTGGTGGTCGCCTCTCCTCGGCCCCCACCACTCCCTGATCCTCTCTCAGCTTCTACTGGTCTTCCTCGGCCTTGGCACCTCAGACGAGTGCTGGCCAGTCAGTGTATACACTGTCTCTCCATTTGGTGGGTCTGGTGTTTTCTCGTGAGTGGACTGAGGTTATGCTTTTTGACAAGAGTCCCACAGAAGTGACGTGTCTTTTTGGTGCGTCACGTCAGGAGGCATATGATGTCGACATGTCTTATTGCCCAATACCTTCTATTTTCCATGGCACTTACGTTGAAGAGCTGGCTCTTACCCTTTATCTGCTGGGACTCTGTCAGGATACCATACCCCAGCCTCCAGCTGCCCCTGGTCACACAGCTGGTGCCCGTTGCCCCTGCGCAGCGGCCATGCAGAGCTGGTGGGACCAGGGGTTCTTATGGGCATAGGACCCTACTCTGTCTGAATTGAAGTGGGGCCACAGGTGTAAGTAAGGGCTTTCTGCCCCATTGCCAATAAAAGTACCCTTGGCTTGGGTGCATAATCCTGCCTCCGTGCCCCTTTTCCTTTCCTGCAGCGTGGCTCAGGGCCGGGTCATCCCACTGCCCCACGCTGCCTCCAGCGGCTTCATTCCCTCCTCAGACCACACAGCTTCGAGTGGCGAAGGCACTGGTGGAGGTCATTCTCTAGCCGTCCTCTCTCTCTGAGAGCTTAAAAGCTACTTTAAAGGTCTTTCTTTTTTTAAAGGCCTCTGAAGCGAGTTCTCTCCCCTTGTTCTATTTGTCTAAGGCAGCTAAGTACTGGCTTCTGGGGGAGCCTGGAACAAAGACCCCATTTGAATGCCTCCCTAGCGTGTCCCCTGCCTTCTCAAGTCTTTCGTTTGCCTTTAACCTGCTAAGAGCACCTGGCGTCTCCAGGCCACTCCCCCTCCCTGAGAGAGGAGGGATTTCTGTGGCCTCCTGTGGTAAAGTGGGGTGTGCTGCACCCGAGCCAGCCTCTGCCCCGGGAGGGCCAGTGCAAGGTACCAGCAGGAAAGTCACTGGACGCTCTTTTGTCCGAGGATTCTGGCCCATGATGGACGTTAAGACCACCTGTGCTCTGCCTCTGAAGAGAGGGGCAGTGGGAGATACATGGGGTTTTTTCTTTTGAACTGGCTGGAACTAGGGGAGCAAAACTGAGCAGGACTCATGGGGCCTGGCAGTGGGGAGGGGACAGGGTTTAGGGACTTTGCCTTCCAAAGGGACGTATGACTGCTGTATCTCAGGGTGACTGGTTGACCTGCTGACAGATGCATTTCTATAAATGATGACTGTTTATCAAATCAATTTTTAGCCTTCATAGTTACTTATCAAGCAAGCCAGGCCATCAGTGGCTACTTGGAGGGGATAAGCAAGTGACTTTTTAAGTGGGCCCTTCTGAGCTAAATGAAGAGAGCCGAGGGCTAGCTGAGAACAAAGCAAAATGCTGAGCACGTTTCATCCAGTTCTCCACCCGTTGTCCTGTGGGCTGTGCTCCCCCAGGAAGGCACAGGCAGCTCGGTGGGGTCAGTGGCCAGGCTGCCATGGAGCGGGGTCTGGAATCAATTTTGCAGGAGGGCTATGTGAGCCCTCCTGAGTGAGTCAGAGGCTGGAAAAGCCTGGGCGGTGGGAGCAGAGGAAATGGAGCAACTTCTGCTTCCTCCCAGGGGCTCTCAGAGCCCCAGCCCTCGGGAACTATGAGGACAGACACTTGAGCCTGCTTGCAGGGCCGGGCCTGGGAAAAGCTGTCACCCCGCTACCTGGGTGTCTCTTCACTGCCAACCCTGTCATTTCCACCGGCTCCACCCAGAATTCTCCACCTCCTCTCTTCTTCCAGCTCCGTGTTCATGTTGAGTTTCTACCTGACCTGTTTTGTGCTGCTGACCTTGGTGGTATTTGTGTCCGTGATCTACTCCTGCGTGAAGGTGAGTCTGGCTGACACCTGAGCCCACCTCCTTCCTTGTCTCTGTCTTCTCTTCCTTCTCAGCCCACTGAGAGGGGCCCTGCCAGCAGCCTAATAAAGCTGCTTGGGATCAGGGGTGCATGATGCTGGGTTACAACTCTCGACTGGCGTTGGCAGCAAGTGAGGCTGCAGGGGCCGTCAGCCAGTGGAGCCGCATGGGGATGGGCGTGGTGAGTGGCCTTTGCAGATCTTTGCAGCAAGAAGATGGTGTCGCTCCCTCTTTGCCTGTCCCCTTGGTATCAGGTGGGATGGAGGAAGGGCACCTAGTTCAATGCCTGGCATGAAGCATTGACATTTGGTGAAAGAACGAGTGTGGAAGGGACCTCTTGGAGCCCTCTTCAGTGTCCCCACATGCCCTGGAATGGGCCAAGGGGAAGACTGTAGAGATCGTGGCTTTGGGCTGCTCAGCATGTAGATGAGGAGGGAGGCCCAGAGTGGCTCAGTGTTTCAGTCAGGGCCACACTGCTGGGACTGTTGACGTGAAACCCTGTCCTGTGCTTTTCTTTGACACCTTCTCTTGACCATGCTGTGCCTACAGCCAGCTGTGTCCTCTTCTGGCCTACTGTAGAAAGTACTCGGGTTCCCATGTGCTTTGTCCAGGGAAACTTTCCTCATTTCCTTCCTCAGTGGTTTCAGGATTCCTTGACAGGGCCAGCCTGGTCCCAGACAGCATTCTGTTGGCAGGCAGGTCAAGGCCCTCTCTGGCTCCTGCTGCAACTGTGTCTCCGCTCCTCCCTGGCACTCACTCGGAGCCCAGCCCCTGGGGCGGGGGACGGGGTGGCTGGGTTGTGCCCCCACTCCCCACACACTCTGCAGTGGGCACCACGTTCTTCTTCCAGAGGGACTGGACCTTTGTCACATCCAAAGTTCCCTTTATCTCTGCACCATCCACGAGGTCCTTCATTAGGTTATTAACTGTGTAATCACCTGGTGGTCAAGGTCTTGGTGGACTGATTGTCAGAACCGGAAGGCCTTGGGAATGAAGGACCTGGTGTGGTGCAGCCCTTCCCCTGAGCAGGTGCAGGTATGGCCACCCGGAGAGGGGCAGGTGGGCTGGGTCTCTTGGCAAGTTAAGCCATGGTTGAAGCTGGTGGCTTTGTTGCATCGTAGGGGTTAATCCTGGTACGCTGTCCCTCCACCTGGTTCTTCCTCAAGGCTCTGTGTTCAGTCACCTCCTGCCTTTTGGTCCTTTCATCATCAAGCCTCTCCCCAAAGCTCCCCATCCGCCAGCCTGCTGTTTCCCCAGTGGGCAGCCTTACTCTCTCCACCTCACAGCTGTAAAAGCACACTGCATATCCACAAGAGGCAACCCAAGTGTCCATCAACACCTGAACAGACAAAGCAAAGTGGTGCATGCGCACAGTGGAACATCATCTACCCATAAAAGGGAATGAGGTTCTGACGCATGCTGCAGAATGGCTGGACCTTGAAAACATGATGCTGAGCAAGAGAAGCCAGACACAAAAGGACATATACGATTCCCCTTACACGAAATATCTAGAATAGGCAAATTCGCAGACAGAAAGTAGATTATAGGGCCCTAGGGCCTGGAAAGGGGGTGAGGAGTTATTGCCTGACGGGCACAGAGTGTCTGTTCGGAAGGATGAAAGGCTCTCCTCGGACCCGGGTGACGGCGACAGTTGCCCAGCACTGCTCCTGGAATGAATGCCGCTGAATCGTGCACTCACGGATGATTCGAACGGCACGTTTTATGTCATGTGCATTTCACCACAATAAAAAGTCGTGACAACTGAGAAAAAACTGCACCATACCTAAAAGAGCCTCTTAAATATTTTTCCTAACCCCCCAAAGAATCTTTTCTCTTTAAGTTATAAACTGAAGCAGTCATTGATTGTTTGTTTGTTTGAGGCACTTATTTAGTCTATTCAAATCAGGATCAAAGCTGTATGCAGTCTACAGTTTTTCAGCTAGAACCTGGATTTCTCTCTTTTCTGTTGGCTGCTTGGGTAAACCTGAGCCACAGATTGTCTTCGGTTTGTGCTCCCCAGCTTGCACGTGTACCTCGGCGGGGGGAGGGGGGAAAGGAGAGGGCCCATCCCCCACCCCCCACCTCACACCCCACCCTCACCTCCGCCTCTACCTGCACTGGCCATTTTGAATGAGTACCTTGGTCTAGTGGATTCTCTTTGCCACTGTTCAAGATTATTTATGAGAATCATTCCTGCCTCCTTATGTTTCATAGAGTCTGCCTAGTTTGTAATCAGTGTCACAGTCAGTAAGGTTCTTCTCTATTCCTTCCAGAGCAGAGATTTTTCTGACAGCTCTGTGGAGACCAGGGTTTCCTCAGGGGGAGGCTGGCGGAGGGAATGCCCACCGCCCCACCCCCAGTTCATCCCCTGCCCAGCCACACCCTCCAACCGGAGGTGACCGCTGCTTCCCTCTTATACAGAATTTCTGTAAAGAATTTGTTTAGGAGAAAATACTCCATGGCTTATCAAGCCAGGAACCTGCTGATACACCCTAATGCCCGCCTTGGGGTCCTGGCTGTGTCCTTCTCTCCTTGCCTCTTGATGAGTGGTCTTCCCAGCATTCATCTACTTTCAGGAGAGTAGACCCCGAGCTGAGCAGTTGTTTGTCGTGTCAACTCCTCTTGTATTTCATTATTCCCCTTTCCTCTTTCCTGTCGCCCATCAACCATTTGCTCAGTGAGACATGGAAGGGGTAGTTCTCCCCATGGGCAGCGGTGCGGCAGGGTGGACGCCTGCAGGCAGACTGCTGGGGGGACTTGATCGCCTGTTCAGGTGTCGCCCTGATGCTCACTGGGCTAGACTTTTCAGTCGTTCTCTTTTCCCTCGGAAAACATTTGCCCTTTACCAGAACTCGGAAATTTTTCATCTTCTTTCCACAGTTTCTCAAAGTCACAGCGGGCGGCTTTTCTATGAGATGCGGCAGTTTCTAAATTGCTGCATCTGGTACGGGCTCCGCAGAATAAAAGCCAAGTGGTTCTGTCAGACACGGTTCCTTTCTCTATTTTATTTACTTTTCCGCTTCTCCCAGACAACTCCGACTTACTTTCTCAAGCTGGCATTTTTGAAGAGAGCAATGTGAAGGAAGCGCAGGCTGCACTGGCCGCCTGCCTCCTGCTGGGGAGTGTGCGCAGCCCCTTCTGCGGGAAGGCCCCGTCCTGCTCTCTGACGGCCGTGACGGCCTTTCCATCTGTCATGTGTTCGACCCTTTGCTGACACAGTGTGGCCCAGTTCACACACACAGCCCTCGCTCTCTCCCTGAGGCTGATCTGGTGCCTCGGTCTTCATCTTGTCCCAAAGTCCTGGTCTTGCTTCCAGAGCGCGTCAGCTGCCCTCCGGAGTCCCGCCGCCGGTGCTGGATGCCTTGCCCTGAAGATCACCCCCCAGCACCGCCTCCTGGTGATGCCGTCTTGTGCAAACCTGCATGCAGCGCTCTTTCCTTTCCTCGGTATCAGTGCTGCCCTGGTCCCCAGAGCTGCTTTTCTTAGAGAAAACCACCCTAAATCCCTGCCATCACATGTGGTCCACAGACTCAGAGAATTTCGGACTGGAAGGGGCCTGAGCAATGAGGCAGCCCAAACACCTGCCTGAGGCTGAACTCCCTCTCTGACAGCCCTGCCAGGGGTGGGCCAGCCTCTGCTTGACCACTTCCAGAGACAGTGATCTCTCACATCTTCTGGGCACAGCCCCTCCTCCTCTCTATGCCCATCTCTGACTGCTCCGTTGGTCTCCCCGTAGCTCCTGCCCCCTCACCTGTGGAGCAGCCCAGGCCTACCCCTGACAGTGCCTCCGCTTTTGCCACCGCCACCACCCAAATGGTAGGAGAAGGTGGCTCCCTCCTCTCCCCACAAGTTGATCTGGGTCTCTGCCTGTCCTGTGGCTGATTATCACATCCTCACTTAGAAGGTCAGACTCCTTTCCTGCAGTTTGGGACTTGGGTACAGAGGGGCCCAGAAGGAGTATCAGCCACATACTTCTCTGCATTGTGTTTATCTCCACCATCCTCCAGGCCGCTGGCTGCCTCTGAGCTGCATCCCGCTGACCCCTGGGACTTAATTGTCTGAGTTCTGGGGACTGGGACCAGAGCTCTTAGGCTCTGTCTGCTCTGTACAGTCACCAGAAAGCCTGTCCTCTCCCCAGAGCCTGGTGTGGCTAAGCCTCCCCTTGCTGGCCGTCCTTACCACCACTCCACCTGACGGCTGCCCTCAGTGTCTCAGACAGGGCCCTGCTACAGCACCAGCTCCTCTTAAGGCATCTTCCGTCCTGTGAGGGCTTGAGAATTCCCACGCCCGCCTTTCCACCAGCAGGCTCGGGGGGACGCATTTCATCTGCTGAGGAGAGGATGTGCTGCTGCCAGGCTGTGTCCAGTGGCTTTGAGGCAGGAAGTCCAGGGTCCAGGTTGCAGCTGTGCCGCTTTGGGCTGTGATTCCTGAGCCTCTAAGGTGATTTTTATTGCATCCCACTTTGCAGATGGAGAAAACAAAGCCCAGTGAGGTGAACAATGTGCTTCCCCAGTTCCTGGAGCTAGGAAGTGGCACGGCTGGGACTCACAGCCACAGGCTTCTTGACCCCAGGCCCCACAGTCCTTCCCTTCAGGGCCTCTGCCTTCGGCAGCGTGTCCAGTCGGCCCTGCGAGGCCAGGCGATGAGAGCAGCAGTGTGGAGCCTGGTCAGCTTCTGCCTGCCGTGTGGGGCCTCCAAAATTTTCCTGCCTTTGAAAACATTTTTCTGAAGTAGGAGCGACTGCTTTTTCATTAGTTCCTTGCCAAAAAAGCTGTCTTCTTAAACTTTTGCCATCAGACTTCAGCACCTTCCTTGATCTCTGCGGCACCCCGGCTCCACAGTGCAGACGGGATCCCGAGCCCTAGGGAAGCCATCGATTTGTCTGGAGACTTTCAGAGAGGCCAGGATCAGAACTGTCCCTCACCCAGTCATGGATTATTAATTATGTCCCCATTCCTGTTTTTATATTGAATTGATTTGAATTAATTAGACTGTGAATGTACTGGTTTGGATTTTTTAAATTGATCTTTTTTCTGAGTTCTGACTGGGAGCAAGCATGGAGCAGTTGGTTTGCAAAGATGCAACATTCTGCCATGAAAAATGCTCTCCTGATGAGCTTTTTGATTACAGAAAATGAGAAACTATATATAAGCTGATACCAGGGCAGGATGTCACATCTTCTGGAGACTTCAAAAGACAAAAATTCCTGGGTTTTTGCTTGGATGTTAAAGCCAAGAGTGTGTCTTTTGAAAGGGTGACAAAGAAAATTAGCCTGTAGCATGCCAGTGCAATAAGAAACATTCATTTATTAGATGCTAGTTAGAACAGCATTCCACATTGGATTTGCTGAAAAAGCCTGCAGTTCTTCTTGTGGCCTCTGGGTGGCTCCAGTGGGGCTCCTGGTCCTCATTGACTAGGCATCGCGTGTGCACATCCTGCCTGGTCGTTGGTGATTGTGGAATAATGAAGGAAGCCCTTCAATTGAGGGACAGCGTAATCAGAACTAAAACAATTTAAGCAACATGGGTGGTGGGGGGGGGATGGAGTGGCAAAATTTGAAGTGGACAAAGATTGGGAACCATCTGTCCCATTCGTTCAGAGTGAGATCCTGGTGCTAGTGCCAAAAACACTTTCCCCAGCTGTGAAACTGAAAATTCCTGTAATAGGAAACAAGCACTTTCATTCTTATTGGCAATATAGCTCTTTAAAATGCAAATATTAACTAAGTTTTCTAGTGAATTTAACAGCTTACAAAGCGCTCTCAAACCCATCATTTCACTGAGTCTCTATGGCCATGCCGGGAGATGGTCTTCCCTACTGACTGATGTGGAAACTGAGGCTCGGAGTTGCTCATGGCCTCCCAGGACCAGACAGACAGCTGGTAGGAGGCCGAGCAGGATGTGTTCAGATACAATTCACATGCCATAAAGTCCCCTTTGTGAAGGTGGATGAAAGTAGATCATGCAGTGGCTTTCGGTGTGTTCATAAAGCTGTGGGTGTGGTTGTTGTGGCTCTAACTCCGGGGCCTTGTCGTCACCCTGGAAAGGAGCCCGGGACCCACCAGCAGTCCCTGCTTGTCCCTCGCTGGCCTCGGCCCGGCAGCCTCTGATCTGCTCTCTGAATTCGCCTGTTCTGGACACGCTGTAGAAATGCAACCATACGATAGGTGGCCTTTTGACATTGGCTTCTTTTACTTTGTACAGTATTTTCAAGGTTCGTCCATGTCATACCGTCATATAACAGCCCTTTATTCCTTTTTATGGCCAAAAAAATTATTCCATTGTGTGGATTTGTCCCATTTTGTTTATCCTTTCATCAAATTGGTGGACATTTGGGATGTTTCCCCTTCCCTGGGTCCGCCAGCTTCCTTTTTAGCTTAGGCTAGTTGGAGGTGACGAGGGCGTGGCGGACGAGGCCTGCAGTCCCAAGCCTGCTGGAGCCGGAGCACAAAGTTACCAAAGCCATAGTGAGTCTCTGATGGGCCTGCGGCCTATCCAGTGAAGGCAGTGCAGGGAGGGCTAGGTGAGGGAAACAGCAGGTCTGTGAGCGCCCTGCTGGAAAGGCCTCACTGCGTTCACTCATCCCCAGCCCATCCTCTGCTCACGTGCTGCTCACCCCTTCCTCCAGACGCCAGACCCTCTCAGACCTCAGACCCACAGCTCCCTTCTTGCGAGAAGCCTTCCGACCCTCTGTGACTCCTCAGCTGCCACCTACTGTCCCCGTGTCCCCATTCGTAACTTTCAGAGTTCACACAATAGGTGCAAGCACTGTTTTCTCTGCTTTCCTGTTTCCCTGTGGGGGTCAAGATAGCATCTTTCCTCCTTCCTTCCATCTTGCTTCCATCACCGGGGAGCTCCCCAGGCAGACCCACACCTGGCCAGCTGCAGGGTCTGGGCTGCCATTGGCCTGGAAGCAGTGGTGCGGCGCTGCCTGGCTGGGGGCTTGCGCACCAGGAGCACGCTCTGGGGTGCTGAGGGTTACGAGGGCCAGAGACGAAGGTGGACAGGAAACCTGGTTCTGTGGCGGTTTGTGGGGTGCCCACTGAATTCTGTGTTGTCTCTCCCTGCCTCGCCCCCCAGCTCTTCCCGGCCCCCCTGCAGACCTTCTCCAGGAAGATCGTGAGGTCCAAGATGAACAGCACCCTGGTCGGGGTGTTCACCATCACCCTGGTGTTCCTGTCGGCATTTGTCAACATGGTGGGTGGCTCCACCTCCCCAGCCCCATTGACGAAACCCAGGGGAGCCCAGCACCCCACGAGCATGGGCTGGGAGGAGAGTCTGGAGTGATCCCTCCCAGAAGTTCTGTGGGCCCCACATCAGGTCTGGGATCAGATTTGACTCCTGAAGCCTCTCAGGGCTGGAGGAGCTAGGAGGACCCTGGAAGTCCCCAGGGGGTGTTCAGGAGCCCCACCCGGGCGACAGGCAAACCTCACCGGGTACTCGGCCTCCTCCAGGCTCCTCTCCTGTCCCCCCACCCCGATCAGAGTCAGGCTGCACCCCAGGCACCCGCTGCCCCGTGGAGATGGGCTGCCCTGGCCTGGCCCCTGCAGCTGACCCTCCCCTCCCCCGCCCCCAGTTCCTGTGCAACTCCAAGGATCTGTTCGGCTGCCTGGCAGATGAACATAACATCAGCGCCAGCCAGGTCAACGCGTGCCACGTGGTGGAGTCGGCTGTCAACTACAGCCTGGGGGATGAGCAGGGCTTCTGCGGCAGTGCCTGGCCCAACTGCAACTTCCCCGAGGTACTGGGCAAGGAGGGACTGGGTGCAGATGGAGAACCCCCGCCCCCGCCTCTCTGCCCGGGGCTGCTCTGAGGGACAGTCAGGGGCTGCAAGCTCCCTGCCACCCCAGAACCCTCGTTTCCTCAGTGTCTGTCACTCCACGTGCCAGACACCAGTGAACGAGGCCAGCCTTCGGTGTAACCATAGCAACAGTACCGGCATAACTCTGGTTTACTGGCACTCACTGAGTGCCAGGCACTGCGCTAAGTGCTTAGGTGCAGTTCCTCATGTAATCCTCTCAACAGCCCCGGCACAGAGGTGCTGTTACTGTCTCCTTTCTGCGAGTGAAACTGAGGTCACATGCCTTGCCCAAGGTCACACAGACAGTGAGCAGCAGAGCCGAGCTCCTTCCCAGGTCATCTGGTCAGGTTTGCGCTGTGAACCTGAGGGCAGAGCTGCTGCGGGCCCTCACAGACCCAGCGAGGCTAGCCGCCCTGCCAAGGGCCACAGAGCAGGCTGGGGGATAGGGCCTGCCGCCCCTGAGAGCTGTGCAGTTCAGTCGCTGTTGGTGCACTTGCAGACCTGTGCAGCCATCGTCAGAATCCGATTTCAGAACATTTTCTTCACCCCCAAGAAGAAAGCATGTACCTCTTGCTTACATGGTTTAAAAAACAGCGCTGAGAACCCTTAGAAAGCAGCACGAATTAAATGCCTGTGGTGTGTGAGCCCCTTCCTTCACCTTGCCTGGGGAGCAGCTTTCGAGGGAGCAGCAGGCCGGGCTGCCCACCCAGGGCGACCACCCCATGCACCGGGCCGTTCCCATGCCCCAATTCCCCTCCAGGGGCTCACACGAAACCTGTAATATGATGGCAGTTTTGCCTTTTTCTGGAGAGAGGGTCCAAACTTTCATCCAATTCCCAAAGGGGCCGGCCCTGGGAGGGAGCCCCGTCTGCCTTGCCTGCCCAGACAGGGCCAGGGAGACCCTGAGGAGCGGGACTCCCCCACACCTGTGCCTGGGCCAGGCAGGCATCTGGGTGGGCGGGCCTGGACCTCGCAGGTGCTGCCCTGCACTCCCTGCCTCTGCCCCCTCTCACATCTGGCCAAGAGTTTGCAGGAGCTGCTGCCTAAGGGCTGTTTGCTGAGAAGCAGAAGCTGTGTTTGGTCTCCCACGTGTCCCTTGGTGGCTGTGCCATGGAAGCAGGGGAGTGGGGGGAAGAGGGCGGTGGTGGAGCCTGTTCCAGGCCCTCATTTTCGGGAGATGGGTGCTCCAGCTGTCAGTCTTCAGTTCTCCCCAGCCTGCTTACCCGTGCTGGCTGCCAGGCTTCAGGCCGACCCTGCCCCACAGTGTTGTTCTGGTCACAAACCCTGAGCCCTTGGGGGACTGCGGTTCTCAGCCTGAGCCTCCTTGTTGCCTGGGCCCTGGGTCCAGCAGGAACCCAGGCTGGCTCTGGGCCCTTCCCGTCCTCCAAGGACGGGCTTGTCCTCAGGGCTGAACTGATTGATGTGCCTTCCCTGCTCTTTCTTCTGCTCCTGTTCCTGGTGGTGGATTGAGGCTGGTCCCAACCCCTTCCAGTCACTGGGGTCCTCTGCCGTCCCTCCCTGGGCTCCCGAAGGCCCGGGACCAGGGAATCCAAGCCGGGGGCCACCCCCACCGCCAGCCACTGCCGTCTGGCCTCCAGCCCAATGCAGCGGCAGTGAGTAGTGCGTCCCAGTGCCTGACTCAGAAACAGCGATGCCAAATTTAAAAGAAGGAACAAAATAATAGGTGCTGGCATGTCTGGGATTAGCACTGGAGACGGCAGGCAGAAGGGGACCTCTAAGACTGCCTGGCTGAGCCCTCAGTTGTCTGAGTAACCGAGGCTCCGAGACCAGAGGAGACTTCCCCGGAGGAAATCGTTCAGGGCCACAGTCCCTCATCTGAAGCCTCCCAGGTCAGATTATTTTGGACTTTGGGACTTGTCAGCTTCTAAAAGGTTACCTGACACCCCCAGTGCAACGTGAGCGGCAGCTAATAATGAGAACCACGGTAACATCTCTGCAGGGTGTGTGAATGGTCACAGGAAGCAGGATGGAGAGGATAATTGGCAACACCTCAGCTGGGTCAGGTTGTGCCACCACAGCAGTTATGAAACATTTTCAGTTTTCAGGAATCGAGATTGAAAGTTGTGCATCACAGGGGTTTACGGCCTGTGCTCTCCCGAGTTAGTGAGGGCGCAGGGCACTGCGCCTAGGGGCTTCATCTAGCGTCATCGCCACCGGGAGCCCAGGAGCTAGGATGCTTTGCACACAGGGAAACGGAGGCTTAGAGGGGTTGTGTTCGTGGCCCACAAATAGTCCATAATGAATCGGGTCGCCACTCAAGTCAGCCTGAGCCTGGAGCTTGCTTGAACCATTGGGGTTACTGCCAGGACCCGTCAAGCTCAGCCTGGAGTCCCACCTTCTGGTCCCTAATCAGGGCCCTTTGCATCATATCACAAGTCTGCATCCGCAGAAACATCCCCAGACTAGGCTTCACGGGAGTCCCGCCGGATGGAGGCTGGGAGGCAGGTGGGCGGGGCCCGGGGAGGGGGCGGTCCCTGAAGCCTGCTCTCTCCCGCAGTACTTCACCTACAGCGTGCTGCTCAGCCTGCTGGCCTGCTCCGTGTTCCTGCAGATCAGCTGCATCGGGAAGCTGGTGCTCATGCTAGCCATCGAGCTCATCTACGTGCTTGTCGTCGAGGTGCCTGGTGTGACGCTCTTTGACAATGCCGACCTTCTGGTCACCGCCAATGCCATGTAGGTGGCACCCTCCCCAGGCCCCCATTGGGCCTGGAGCCTTGCAGAGAGGTGGGAAGAGCAGGAGGCTGGGGCCCCAGGTTGCAGGGCATTTGCCAGGGGAGTGGCAGGCTCGGTCCTCTCCCTCTCTCCCTTTTCTAGGGTGGAGGTGGCCTCAGGGTGGCTCGCCCACTGTCCCTCTGCCTCTAGTTTCCGACTCAGTCCTGACCTCAGGCCTCAGTTCCTAACTTGTCCAGGACAACCTCTGATGGGCTGTTCTCACCTGACTCCTCCCACCTGTGGTGCCCCAGGCCCGAGGGGTCCAGGTGCCGCAGGGTTGGACGGCGAGGTCTGTAGGAGCGGAGGAACGGCCTTTGTGGCTCACGGCCTGTGTCTCACGAAGCGCCAGGAGCCTGGACACGCGTTGTGACTGTTCATCTCACAGCACCCAGCAGGGTCGGCAGGGCGGCTGTGGGAGGCCCTGGCCCTGGGCAGAGTGTCAGGGCCTGCGATGTGCAGGCAGCAGGCCTGGGCTGGGCCGGAGGCCCTTTGGCTGTCTGTCTGTCTGTCTAGTCACAGAGCCACAGGGGTCAGATCCGGGAGGGCCGAGGCATCTCGCTTTGGGTCAATTTGAGTTTCGGTCTCGGCCTCAGATACACATTTGGCTATTTTCCCGAACCTCACGATTTCCCCCAGTGACACAGGAACAGTAATGCCCATAGCAGCATCCTGTGTGCAAAGTGCCTGACACAGAGCGCGCTTTTCTTCCCCTCACTGTCCCCGCCCAGCGCGCACATCCGGAGGTACCGATAATGGAGGCGACTGGTCCGTCCTCTGAGAAAATAGGGCCGACTCTTGAGTCAGAGGAAGGGTCCACCCACTCCGAGGTCTTTGCCGTGGGCCTGCCATGCTTTAGGCGCTGAGCTAGGCAGTGAGGTGCAGGCACTTGGTGAAGAGAGTGTCCCCTGAGAAAATAGAACTGTGGTGAAGGATCGAAGATTCAAGTAAGAACTTCTCAGCGACTGTGTGGGGCTGCGGGCAGATGACAGGGAGACGGGCCGCACTGGGAGTTGTGCGGGCTGCAGTCCTGCGAGGCCGGGAGAGGGAGGTGGTCTGAGCCTTTCTGCCCACGGGCCACGGGACAGCCTCTTCTTTCTCACCTGCTCCTCCCCCACCCTCCACTCCACTCTCCTGCTGAAGTAGCAACAGAGAAAGGAGGCCATTTCTGGGCTTGGAGACCCTGGCTTGGCTCGAGGGCTGCACTGCCCAGTAGGTGACTAATGCAAACCATCCTGGCAATTCAACATTTCCTAGTAGCTGTACTAACAAGGCAACTCAGGCAATAGTCTCCGACTTGCACTCAGTGCTACTCTAAAGCTCAGTAGCCATATCTACCAGACTTGGACAGTGCAGGTGTAAGTCTTCCGCCTCCTCTGGATGGCGACAAAGGGCTGGGGTGGGAGAGATGGCTATGGTGGGGGCAGATGGCCCAGGTAAGGCCTGGGTAATTTGCGGTCAGGATGACCAGATGCTAGGTGGTGCTGGGATTCCTGGAGCCTCCCATCCTGAGAGTTTCCTTGGATCTGGAGGAGTGCTGGGGGTCAGTGGGGGGTGTGGGAAGGAGCAACAGCAGCAGGAGGAGCAGTCCTGGGCTGGGGGCGGTTAGAACAGGACGGAGGACAAAGCAGGGTGGGGGCAGAGCAGGCACTGGAGCTGCTGAGGCAGGGGAGCGGCCACAAACAGCTTTCCCACTCTCTTCACAGAGACGTCAGCAACAATGGGACCTCCCAGTGGTGAGTTGATGCTGTTCTCTTGGGTACCGCTCCTCCCTGCTCTCAGCTCAGAGCAGCCAGGGCCAGCACCAAAGGCGGCAGGGCAGGGGTGCCCAGGTGGGAGGAGGCTCTGTGGCAAGGTGGGCCGTGAAGGAGGAGGCTGGAGGGGGTGAGGAGGCCCTCCCCTCCCAGGTACCAAGGGGGCCTCATTGGCAGGTGCCCTCCTTTATTTTATGACCCTCACCACCCCAAGGTGCTGTGTAGCCTGGGGAGCCAGGGTCCTCAGGACCCACAGGTCATTCCACAGGCCTCCTCTTAAGGCATTTAGCCTCAGGCTCTCCTCCAAGAGTATGTACCTGACCTCAGGCCCAGGAGGGCAGGAAGCGGTGCCCCTCCCCCCAGGAGAGGCCCGCAGGATGTGGGTTAGACCCTAGTGGAGCTGCCTTCGAGGTTTGGGCTCTTTGCTGGGACAGGGAGCAGGGTTTGGAAGAGCTGCTTTTATTAAGAGTATTTATTTAAAGTGTTAACAGAAATATAATTAGATCATAACACCTACCACTTTTGGAGTTCCTACTGTTTCTCAGGCAGAAGGGATTTTGTATATAGTCTCTTTCACTTTTACCACAAGTTTGAAATGTGGGCATTGTTATTCCTCTGCATGGCTTAGGAAGCTGAGGTTCAGAGAGGTTAAGAGACCTGCGCAAGGTCGCCCAGAGACGGTCGGCGTGGCCTGCCTTGCTCCCTTGTCACTGTGCCCCACAGCCCCTGTCCTGCCCACTGAGAAAGACCTGGGATGTGCACTTACCCTTTCACGAGGGCCCCCTTCATCCTCTGGGGACCAGAGGGACACGCCGCAGTGAAGAGGAGGCAGGCATCAGGAGGGAAGGGACGGCTGGGCAGGGGCTGAGATGGGGCTTTGGTCAAGGAGGCTTCCAGGCTGAGGCACAGCTCAGGTGGGTCAGCAAAGGGGTGCGGTGGGAGGAAGACGAAAGGCCTGAGGGGGCCTCGGTGCCAGGGCATCCGCCTCCCGCCCACAGCCCTGAACACGCGACCAAGGTGGCGCTGAAGGTGGTGACGCCCATCATCATCTCCGTCTTCGTGCTGGCCCTGTACCTGCATGCCCAGCAGGTGGAGTCCACCGCCCGCCTCGACTTCCTCTGGAAGCTGCAGGTGGGTGGCCCTGGGGCCGGCACTGGGATGGGGAGGCACCCAGGCCTCACCGCCCTTGGGCATGAGCGAGCCCCTGACCGGGCTGGGATGGGCCTTAGTTCTGCAGTGACCGGGTATCCTGCTCAGGCCTTGTCTCAACAGACCAGCGCCCCACACCCCAGCAGGCCGCCTCTCCTCAGAGCTTATTCCAGATGGACCCACCCTTGACAGAGCTGGACTTTGATGGGCCCAGGAGATGTGTTCCTAAGTCACCAATACTGTGTGCAGAGTCAGGAACAAGGGGAGGTATGGACAGGCCCAGTTAGTGTGGGAGCAGCAAGGTGTCAGGAGACTAGGAGGGGAAGAGGGGCAGGAGGGGGGCCAGGGCATGCAGCCCCAGTGCCTCAGAGGCCTTTGTGCAGGAGCCTGGCCGGGCGCAGGACCTGGCACCACAGGCTTCTGAGGAGGGCTTGGCGTGACCGGGAATGGCCTGAAGATTTCTCCGGGGCAGGATGGCTGGCAGTGGGCCTCGAAGACTGCTGACAGGAAGCCCAGCCAAGGGGCTGCATCCTGGCCCTGGTGATGGGTATCTCAGGAAGGAGCTGGGGCCACAGCTCTGACCGGTGCTGGGTGCCCAAGTGGGGCTGAAATCCAGCCATTGCCCTGCCCTCCAGGCTTTCGGCCCTGCACCCTGGGAGATCCACCTGGAAGAGAGGATACCTGTGGCCCTTGTTACCTGGTAGAGCACCTCAAAATGTCCAGGAGAGGATGCCCAAGGGCACTCACTTGAAAAAGCCTGGTCTAGGTGGGCGCCATGGACCTGTTGTTCCAGTCCAGCTTCTTGCAGGACGTAGCTTAGCTCTGGCTCTTGTCTCCCCTGCCCTGGCCCCTGTGTCTAGACTGCTTCTGCAGCTCGTCTGCAACGAGCTTAGGCCTCCTCTAACTTCAACTTCTTACTGATGCTGGAATCAAAGTCTTTGGGCTGGGTCAGGAGGCCTTGGAATTTCATTGGGTGCCAAGCGAAGATGAGGGCATCTGGTTGCCCCACTCTTGGGTGTTTTGCGTGAGGTCTGGCTGAGGTTGCTCCTGATGTCTCCAGTGGGGACACCCTGAGGCCAGAGGGACATGTTTTCTGTGGAAATGCCCCACAGAAGCCCTGTGGGGTGAGGGGCCTCAGGGCCGTCAGCGTGAAGCTGCATTGCCTCCTCCCCGCTGCCTCCCAGCCTTGCTCCTCCCCTTTGGGAAAACCCTCTCCTAGGGGCTCTGTGGAGCCTGGGGCTGATGCTGCAAAAGCCTCTAGAAAGGATGAGCCTGCCACTTGGCCTCGGTCTGTGACCTGCTGCCCCTTCACCCCCATGCAGCCGCGTCTTTGTCCGGCACCTGAGTGCACAGGGTCGTGCTGAGGCTGCCTGCCCATGCTGAGCAGAGCAGTCTGGAGCTTCCCCACAATCTGGGCCCCCCGGGGCCCAGGCCACAGCAGCTTCCTCTCAGCCCCCAGCCAGGTGCTGCCTTCGAGTCTTGAAGGTGAAGATTTGGGTGAACAGCAAAGTAGATGCCTGTCTCTTCCGGAGAGCTGAAGCCTCTCATCTCTCGGCAGGTGTGCACCTCCCAGGCTCGAAACAGCCCGAGTTGTGGGGTCTCTCCTCTGTCCCCATGTCTGAGGCCCCGCACATGTGCCCCATCCCCATTCCCTCCAGCTTCCTTGGACTGGACAGGGGCCCGGCCCCCAGTGGTGCTGAGGGTTTGGGGGTTTGGAGACCAGGTTGTTCTCGGTCGGTCCTCAGCATGTCTTCAGCCCCAGAGACACTGGTGTTGTCAGCGTTCCTCTCCATAGGTGGCCGCAGACACAGGGGATCCACTTACTTTTGCTCCCTTGACCTCCTCCCTCCCCATGCCTATGCTCCCCCCACCACTCCTATCTTCTTTTTGGGGGAGGAAGTTCTAAAAATGACTTGAAACCTACAGAAAAGTCACAAGAACCGTGTGAAGAACTCCAGCAGTCACTGCGCCAGATTCCCCAACCTGTTTTCCGCATTCACTCAGTTGTCCTGTTCCCACCTTTCTGACAATATGTCCCATTGCATTAAATTTTCCAGTGCCTACCTTTGAAAAACAAGGACACCCCCTACATCACCGTCCTCGACCCCCCAGTCAGGAAATCAACACTAGCGTGGCACTGTCCCAGCACCCACAGAGCCCGTTCAGGATTTTCCGATGGTCCCGGTTCTAACCCAGGATTCAATCCAGTTATACCTAAAAAAAAAAAATAGTAGGCCTGGGTGGTGTGGCTCAGTAGACTGAGCACCAGCCTTCGAACCAAAGGGTCCCTGGTTCGATTCCCAGTCAGGGCACATGCCTGGGTTGCAGGCCAGGTCCCCAGTAGGGGTGCACAAGAGGCAACCACACGTTGACGTTTCCCTTCTTCTCTTTCTCCCTCCCTTCCCTTTTGTCTAAAAATAAGTAAAATTAACAAAAAAATCTTTAAAAAACATTTAAGAAGAAACTCAGTTTTTAAGATAGAAAGTTTAGTGAATATAGGCATATTTTTAAAAAGATTTTGTCGATTTATTTTTAGAGATGGGAAGGGCGGGAGAAAGGGAGAGAAACACGGATGAGAGAAAAGTCAGTCTGTCCGTCGCCCGTCACAGTCCCCCCTCCAGGGCCCTGACTGCCGGCCCACGGAGCCCCGCCGGTCAGGGCCGGTCAGGGCCGGTCGTACTCCGCATGAGTTGCTGTGTCTTCTCGGTCGGTCGTTCCTTGTCTCTCAGTCCTCGCCAGTCCTGAAGAGATCCTCTTCTGTGACCCTCAGCCTCCGTTCGTTGACAGTTCCCACGTCCAGACTCAGGTCGCACCTTCTTAAAGGTAAACCGTGGGAACGACGGGGTCTCTTCTCAGGGCGTCCCACTGGGGATCCGCTGCCCCGGGGACGCTGACCCTGACCGCCACCCGGTGGGCGCCCGCCAGGTTCTCCCCGTCAGCTCTCCGTCTTCCCCTCCTCGTTCCGTGGTTAGCACGTTGGGGAAAGACGGTCCGAGGTTGCACCGGTGCTCGGTGCTCGGCAGCGTCCGCCCGGCTGGGCCCTGGCCGCCTCGCAGCGCCGGCGCACGCCCCCTCCGCCCACACTTGGCCACTGGGCGCTGCCGAAAGGAAGAGCCTCCTGCACCCACTTGTTTCCTCAGTCATTCATTTGTCTGTATCAGCAGTGAGTCATAAATCCCTATCAAATTCCGTGGGTTTTAATCGGCTCCTCTCCTTATTTTAATGCCCGCATCGCCCTGGGTCTGAGTTCCTTCCAGTCGGCTTCTGTGTTCCGACAGGTCTTCCCCCTCCTCCGAGCGTCGGCTTCCCGTGCCCAGGGCTCTCTCTGTGCTCTCCCTGCTCCAGCCCGGGAGTCAGCGATTTCTGCAAAGAGCCCCATTTTCTTCTCTTTTTTTTTTTTTTTTTTACTGGAGAACGGTACTTAGAAACCAAGGTCAGTGTGCTCTCATGTTCACTGTTTTAGGTCCTCTCTATGGACAAAGCCAGGGAATACGTGTGTATGTGCACTTACAAATAAACACACGGGGACACATGGATACTACTCCAGTATGTCTCTGCTGATATTTAGAACCATGAGTTTACAGCAGTGCCTCTGGCCAGTGCAACACCTCAGGCTGCTTCCTAGCCTTCGCCCTCCGCGCTTGCGAATGCCCTCTCTGGCAGTGAGAAACCAGGCTCCCATCATCTGCCATACACTGACTCCTTTGCTCCGTGGAACCAACCTCCCACCCCCTCCAGCCCCACTTTCTGCCCCCCGCCCCCTCCCCTCTTCAGCACCCTGCTCCATGTGGTGGGCAAGCTGCGGGCGGCTCCCTTCCTCTGATCGCTTTGCATCCTCAGGCACAAGGGAGGGGAAGGAAAGGAAGGTTGGAAAGGAAGCGGCTGGACCCCCCTCCCACTTTGAGAACAGTTAGGAAGGCCGTTGCACCAGTGTATGAGCGTGTGGGTGAGCGTGCCTCTACCTGCCAGGTGTGTCAGCCTCTCTTCCCTGACGCTGCCCACAGGCTCGTGATGCCTCCAGGTCCCTCCATTTCTCATCCTGCTCTGGGGCGTTGGGGAGTGGGGGCAACATCACACAAACACCAATAAGCAAACACCTGCACGCGGGCCTTTGGGGTGGGGGGCAGCAGTCAGTCGGCCCGCCCTGGGCCCGCTCCACAGCCCATTTTGCTGTTGGGCCCGAGGTCGTGGTGGGTGGGCAGGTGCCGACAGGGATGTGGGAGGCCTGGGCCCTTAGCTCCTCTGACACCGCTGCATGAGGACTCGCGTCTCCGCAGGCCCCTCCTGGCAGAAGCACTAGCCTCGGTCCTTGTGAGAGCCCACTCTTGTGCCCTCCCTTAGCGCTGACTTTATCGGGACCAGCAAGGGGTTGTGCACCTCTGAGCCCTCCTGCCTGGCCAGAGTCTGCCTCTGAAAGCATCTGGCCGTGTTGGCGGCTGCCCCATGTGCCTTGGGGCTGCATTCCCCTCTGGTGGAAGCACCTGGCCAGGGCCTGGGGGTTGCCTCTGTTCCATCAGTAGTCCCTTTCCCAGCGTCCCTGCCCCCAGACTACACTGCCACCCTGCCTGACACTCGGGGCAGGTGCTCTCTGGGAAGGGCGTGTGTCGTATACCTGCTGCCTGCTGGGCTGGGGTGCCCCTGAGGCGCCAGGCACGGGGTCCCAGCAGGTAGGAGGAGCCAGACGGCAGTCAGCCTGGAGCGTTGCCAGAGGCAGGCTGACCAGCCGGGGCTTCTCCCTGGGACAGCCTGTGAGGAGCCCCGGGCCTCCAATGCCAGCCGATTCCCCTGGCACACGGGTCCCAGAGCAAAGAGCAGGTGGCTCTGATTTATGGGGAGGGACGTGGTTAAAGTGCCCCACCTCACAGGAACAAAGGTCACCTAGGCTGGAGGGCCGGGGCAGGAGGACAGCACATGCCCCTGGGTCCCCCTGGCCCTTGAGGGTCCAGGAGCTTCTTCCTTAGGCACGACCCCCATCCTTGTGGCCATGTAGCTCAGCTCCAGGAGTGGAGGGCTGTGGTGCTCTCACCTCAGGGGCAAGGCTCGGCCCCCAAGCCTTGGGGTCCCTGAGCTTTCCGCCTTCCTTGCTGGACCCATGTCCTATGGCCTTGGGTGGGTGTGCCTGTTCTTTCCCCACAGACCACCACAGCCCTCCAGGGGATCAGAGCCCTGAGAAGTAGCCCTGGCCCTTCTGGGGGGTCCCAGCTCCAGTTGAATAGAAAGGCCTCCACACTTAGTTACGGAAGGCCCAAGCACTCTGGCTAGATCTTTCAAGCAGCCCTGGCTAGTGATCTTTTCCCAGCCTGCCTGACCAACACGGTCACTCCCAGTTAAAGGGGCCATTTTGTTTGCCATCAACGGGGAGGAGGCCGGCAGACTCCACTCTGTGCCCCTCAGTCCCGGGGATGCTCTGAGCAGTGACTACTTGCGTGTGCCCCCCGGTGTACGACCTGTGGGTCCCTGTGGGCCTCTTGATCTGACAGCTCTGCATGGCCCCTTTAACCTGGAGGGTGACGACAAACCCCAACTGCCCAGCTCCAGGACCCACACTGGGGGAAAACCAAAGTCAAAGGTGTGTCCCTGCCCTGCCTGGCTGCACCAGCCCCTGGGCCAGTCTGCTCTCGGGACCAGGGGGGTCAGCCCTGGGGTCATTCCGTTACAGTGATCCTTAGCAAACTGCTTTCCTGAGTGCATGTCCTGCTGCCGAGGGGAAACTGAGGAGTGGAGGGGCACTGGGGCAGCTGTGGGGCTGGTCTGGGCGTGGTTGGGGGCCTTCCCTCTCACCGGCTGCCTCCTTCGAGTCTGGGGCAGACAGGCTGTTTCGGCCTCTCCTCCGGGCCCTGCTCCCACTCGGGGGTCCCTGCCTCAGGACCAACCCTCTCATACCTGTCACTTGCCAAGAGGCAGGTGGGGAGAGTCACTTACAGATCTCTCTTCTCTGATGATCAAAGCAGTAGCTGCTCTTTATAGAAAAGATGGACATGAGGCAGCAGAGAGGCTGGGAAACCAGGTGTGTGTGGACATCCCAGGCCCACACTGGCGTTTGGGCAGGTCCACTCTCTCTTCCTGAGAGTGCGTCTCCTGCCCCCTCCCTCTGACCGGGCCCTCTGCCCCAGGCCACGGAGGAGAAGGAGGAGATGGAGGAGCTGCAGGCCTACAACCGGCGGCTGCTGCACAACATCCTGCCCAAGGACGTGGCCGCACACTTCCTGGCCCGAGAGCGGCGCAACGACGAGCTCTACTACCAGTCGTGCGAGTGCGTGGCTGTCATGTTCGCCTCCATCGCCAACTTCTCCGAGTTCTACGTGGAGCTGGAGGCCAACAACGAGGGCGTTGAGTGCCTGAGGCTTCTCAACGAGATCATCGCCGACTTCGACGAGGTGCGGTGTGGGCTGAGGGGCCGGTGGGTCCCTGAAGTGGGAGGGATGGGAAGAGGCCCGATGCCCCCGCCACTGTCACCAGCTGTGAATGGCGACATCAGGAGCCCTGCTCACGGTGTCCCAGGACCTGTTGCAGGCATACTGCACGCATTTCTCCCCCAAATGAGGCCCACAGATGTGACGTGTCTTGCCGAAGGTCACTGCCAGTAAGTGGCAGGGCTGGGGCTTCGGTCCACCCTGTTTGAATTTGCAGCCTGTGCACCCCAGCTGCCCATTGATACTCTGCCCGGCTGACCTGCCGACCACTCCCATCACCCACCATTCCTCTGCTGCTGTCCAGGGCTGCACAGGGCCCCAGACGGAGCGAAGAGGTGGGACAAAGATGCAAAGTCCTATCATCAGAGGCAGAAACAAGCCTGTTTCTTTATTTGTGTATCACCCTTGATGAGCAGTTAGCATTGCCAGGCCCTGGGGATACCATGCCTGGCAGGGCAGCCTTGACCCTGGAATCCCACCGCATAGTGAGCGTGAGGGACATTCCCAGTGGGAGCCTGGGCCTGGGGCATGGGAAGGAGAGGGGGATGGAGGTGAGACCCCGCAGTGATGGAAACAGCCCTGGACTCCCAGGCACTGGGGTGACTGAAGTCGGCTGCAGCGGGTCTGGGCAGGCTCCCGGCAGGTCCTGGAGACAGAAGAAGGGTGTCCCGCTGCACAAAGATGAGATTTCCCGGGAGGGATGGGGACGTGAGCCAGCGAAGGGGGAGATGGCCACCAGCCCCTGTTGGGGCGAGAGACCCAGAGGTGACTGCTGCCCTGACCCCAGGGCTCCTGGTGTGGGGTGGGCCAGTGGCACACAGCCCCTCCGCAGCAGTGTGCTGGGCGAGGCCCGGCTCCGTCAGGGAGCACTGGGGCCTTGCACCGAGTTGGTGATGGGGACGGGCCCACTGTGCAAACGGGGGAGACGCGAGGGGCCACACTGCCACACTCCCTGCAGACCCCGGTGTCCCAGATTTGGGGGTGACCGGGTGTGGCCTTCTTCAGATCATCAGCGAGGATCGATTTAGGCAGCTGGAAAAGATCAAGACCATCGGCAGCACCTACATGGCCGCTTCCGGCCTTAATGATTCCACGTACGACAAGGTGGGCAAGACCCACATCAAAGCTCTGGCCGACTTTGCCATGAAGCTGATGGACCAAATGAAGTACATCAATGAGCACTCTTTCAACAACTTCCAGATGAAGATTGGTGAGCTCACTGGGGAGGGCTGAGGGCTTGTGGTGGTTCCTCCCACCCCCATGCTGCATTAGTGACCTGGTGTCGGCCAAGCAGAGGCCGACACCATAGTGCATCCCTGCCCAAGGGGGTGGGGTGGGCACCCAGCACTCAAAGCGTACCCCTCCAGAGCCTGGAGGTGCCTCCCCTGCACATCGGTGTGAGGGTCCCTTGCACAGGACACCCTTTTCCTGAGTTCCCACTTCACCCACTTGTTGGGAAGGCCTGGCTGGACCCAGGCTGTGCCTGCCCGAAAGACCTCGTCAGGGATGCAGTGTGCCTAGGGTGCAGGGCCTCCTGGGGGCTGCCTCATGGGCGGGCAGTCCTGCTTATTTCAAGTGACACTGCTTAAGTGGCAGTGCTTGATCTAAAAGTGTTCCAAATTCATTCAGTAAAAATGAGAAGAGTAAAATGAAACACGTATCCATTTTAAATTTATTATTATTTTATTTTTTATTTTTAGAGAGGGGGAAGGGAGGGAGAAAGAGGGAGAGAAACATCCATGTGAGAGAGAAACGTTAGTTGGTTGCCTCTTGCGCGTCCCCGACCGGGAACTGAGCCCGAACCCTTTCCCTGCGCAGGACCCACCCAACCAACTGCGCCCCACCAACCAGGGCGAAACACTCATCCATTTTAAATACAGAATGAACGAGCGCCGAACAAGTCATTCCATTTGCAAGTTTATAAAAATGTTGCACGTAATTCTACAAAATCATTAGCAAAATAGAATGAATATAGTGAGATCTTTTAAAAAACTAAACATAGAAGGAATCATGTAAAATTGACAATGAAATGATTGTTTCAACATTTTGAGTCATCTTAAAAAACAAGTGACTCAGCAGAAGTTTACTGCTGCGTGCAAGTGGTTTCTGTGTGTGAGCACAATCTCCTAGGTGCTATGAAAGCTTTTCTAACCTGCGCACATTGGGGGAGAAACCGTGTGGATGTGGAAGTCAGTCGAGTCCACGCGTCTTCCCCGGGCTCCCTCGTCCGGTCGGAAGGGCGGAGGCGGGGCTCGGCAGACGCGGAGGGCGGGGCCCCAGGGTGAGGGCCGCTGCAGGAGGGGGAGGGGCAGGGCCGGGTCTGTTTCCCAGTCAGGGCCCCATTCTACTTGCTCAGGAAATCTCTGAACCCAAACCCTAGATCATTTTTTCCTATTTCTGTATTTAATTTTGTTGTTTTATTGCCCCAACCTTGTACTCTGACAAGTCGCAGCTCCACAGAGGAGCTGAAGGACTAGCACAGCGAGAACTCGTGCGCGGTGACCAAGTCGCATGTTTGCTCCCCCTGAGGTAGCACAGGATGGTTTCAGGGTGATGGCTCTGAATGTGTTGCTCCGTGAAGTTCAAGGTGTTTCTGCAGTTCGCTTTGTTCTTGTCAAGGATGCCCAGGCTGGCAGTGTGAGTAGAAATCTTGGCAGTAGAAATTTTGCTTTGTTGAGTGTTGCTGCCTTCCTCTATTTACTTATTTTTTCCATTACAGTTTACCTTCAGTATTATTTTGTACTGGTTTCAGGTGTGTGGCCTGGTGGCTAGGTAATCTATACTTTACAGAGTGTTCCCCTCCACATGCCCAGTCCCCACCTGGCTCCGTACATGCACAGTTATTACAGTGTTGTTGACGCTTTCGATGCTGTAACTACCAACTGGTCCTTCTCACTCCCTGCACCCTGTTCCCCCAGTCCCCAGGCCCCTCCCCTCTGCTGCCCCCACCTCTTCAGGATGGCAGAGGTAAAGAGTGCTTTCTGAAAGAGTGGACCTTTCTTCCATTCAAAATGTTAATGCATTATCAATTCCCTGGGTATGTCCATCTCAAGCCATAAATGATTCAGATTTCACATTTTTTGAAAAAGGAACAGTAATTCACCCACAGAAATACTAGTATTTCAATTCTCAAAATCAGCACATTAGATCAAAATACTGGATTACTAGCCATCAGTACTGTGATCATTGGCTGCTGTGTCAGTCTGGGGGCCCGCCCAGCGGCCTCGGCCGGGCTCTCGTCCTGCCCGGGCTGCCGGCTCGCCCAGACCAGAGCCGGCTCGGGGTCTGCCCCACCTCCCGCGCAGCCCACATTTCTCTGTGAGCTTCATTCACTCTTGGCTTTCTGAAATCCCCATTCTTAATTTCCCTGCACCCCATCTTTCCCACCTACACTGATGTGTGTTTTTGTAAGCTGCCTCCAGCGCCTTCATCACACCAGGGCTGGAGACTGAGCGGCAGGCAGATGAGTAGCCGAGCAGGCAGTGGGGAGCCTCACCGAGGAGCGTGGCTTTTGACCGGTGGGTTAGACAGTCCAGCCTGGAAGTGGCAGGCGGTGTAAAAAGCCACATGTGATGTGGCAGGACTACAGAGGAAGATCGTGGAGGGAAGAGTTTTGAGGACTGATGGCATTTCTGAGTAAGCGAGTGGCCTGATGAGCTTATCTGGGAGCTTCTGCTGTTTGTGGTCTTACCTCTCACACACGAGAATCAGTTAAGCAATGATGAGGTTTAATGAGGCCCAGTGTTACTGAAATAGGAGGGAGTGCCCTGGGGCATGGAGACACGGCAGAGAATGTCCAGAGAATGCCAGGTGGGCAGATGTGTCAGGGAAGGACGGCGGCTGGAGAGGAGGAGGGAGGACACTCAGACGGAGAACAGGCACAGCGCAGGCTCGGAGGTGGTGTGGCCTCGGTGAGTCTGGGCAGAAGTGCCGGGAGCAGGATGGAGGGCCAGTGCCCAGGGGTGCCCTTGCCCTGGCTCGGAGGCCCAGGGTAGGGTTACTTGGCAAGGCCGGAGATGGTGGGGTAGGAGCTCAGTTCTAAGGACGAGAAGGTGGTGCCCCTGGAAAAACAGAGCAGTGAGGAAGGGAAGGGCAAGTTCCGGTGTGTGGAGTCCAAACTGATGGCGGAAACTGAAATGCCACTGAGAGACGGGTGATTAGAGAAAGGTGGGGTCAGGTGACACACTGTGTGGAGGGAGGAATGCCAGCGAGGGCCAGCGTTGGTCTGAGTCCTGAGGGCCATGCTGACTTCTGTCCCCCCAGGGCTCAACATCGGCCCCGTGGTGGCTGGGGTGATCGGAGCCCGCAAGCCTCAGTACGACATCTGGGGCAACACAGTGAATGTGGCCAGCCGCATGGACAGCACCGGCGTGCCTGACCGCATCCAGGTGAGTGCAGGGGCATCCGCCTCCCCCACACCAGGGCCTCTGCCTGGTGCTCAGTGGTCTTCGGGGCAGCAACCCCTCGAGTTTCCAGCAGAATTTCTGCAGCCAGATCTCAGGACAATTGGGTAGTTAGCGCTGGTGTCTTCGAAGTTTGGAGAACAGGATTGGTTTCAGGCTTTCAGTACCTCGGACAGCCCCCTGCCCTGCCGCAGAGCTGCATGCTGGCCTTAGGAGGAATTAGAAGGTACAGCCAGAGGCCGGCTGCCTGTGCCCAGCCACGAGTGCTAATGCCACAGCCCAGGCACACAGAGGGACACAAAGATGACCACAGGGGGCAGGGTCTTGCCAAATGGGACCCACAGCACCCACGGGGACTGGCCAGAGAACCAAGACTTCTCCTCCCTGCATTCTCTGTGAGCTGGTGCTCGTAGTTCCCAGGCCTGCCACTCTTCAGCTGCTGTTCTTTGTTTTTCTCAGGCCCTCCTTGGTTCTTCCTGCTCCAGTCTGATGCAGAGAGGCCCTGGGCTGGGCTCTAGTCCTGCACACCCCCATGCCCCCAATTCCCTGTGAGCTGTGGACGGGTCACTTAGCTTCCCTGGCCTCAGTTTTCCCAAATGCTGTTGGTGCTTTTTTATGGCCTTTTGCTCACCCTGACACCATCCAAATGCCCCCCAACTTCTCTCTCCTGTGGGGTCTCTGAACAAAGGGCTTGGCCCTGAGGATAGCCGGGGCCAGCACAGCCCTGCCTGGCTGCCTTGTGGGTGCTGTCTGAGGGGCCTGGCCAAATGGCCTCTCACCTCCATCCCTGTGCTGAGGGGAGAAAGGATGGCAAGGCGGGGAGTGGGGCTCGTGAGGACAGACGAGGGGCATGTGTGCTTGCAGAGTGCCTGACCTCACCCAGACAGGTGCGAGGGCTGCTGCCGGCAACCACAGGGCCTCACCGCTGACGAACACACTTAATAGCCTCCCCGCAGCCCAGCCTGGATTCCTGCCCGGGGCCCCCGGCCTGGGGAGGACACGCAGCAGGTGCTGGAGCAGGGCTGGCAGTACTCAGAAATGGTTTTGGATCGCCTTGCGAGGCATTCGTGTGCACTGCCGCTCTGTCACCCCTGCTTTTCCCCCCGTCGCCCTGCACAACTGTAGTGTGGTCACTGAAGCCACTGTGAGTGCTCCTCTTTGTCCCAAATGCTGAAGGACAGACAGACAGACAGACAGGCAACACACTGTGGAGCTCTGCCACTTGTTAGCCATGTGACCTCAGGCAAGTGACTTAGGTTTTTCCAGCCTGAGGTCACAGTGCTTACAGATGAAGTAAGCAGTGGTTCTCAACTCTCTGTGGTGAAAAACCAGAGTGCGACCTTGGCCGACACACTGGTCTCAGGTGTGGTCTGGCTGCTAGGGGAGCAGCTCTGCACTGATTCGCAGCCTCGGCACTTCTCTTGCGGTGGGCAGGCGATGGCCACCCTTTGGGTAGCATGGAAATAGTGTGTGTGAGGTGCTTGCCGCACTGCCTGGCACAGAGCAGGTGTTGTCATCCTCATCACTGAGGCACGTTCCTGGACAAGCAGTTGTCCATCCCTGAGAGCCTCGGCAGGAAGGTGCCACCCACCCTTCTGTGTCCAAGGCAGCCAGGCAGCGCTGCCCGATGGTAGACTCACGGCTCAGGTCACTAATGGCCTATCTTCTTTCCTCCTTTGCCTCCTCAGGTCACAACAGACATGTACCAGGTGTTGGCTGCCAACACCTACCAGCTGGAGTGCCGGGGTGTGGTCAAGGTCAAGGGCAAAGGCGAGATGATGACCTACTTCCTCAATGGAGGGCCCCCACTCAGTTAGTAGCTGCCAGTCAGAGATGCCAGGCAGCCCGGCCTCCAGAGAAATGGAAACAGCTTCTTCGTGTGCCAGGCAGGCAGGTGGAAGCCCACGCTCCAGCCCAGGGGGCTGCGCCGATGAGATTTGCCATTTTGACTCCAGAAGCAGCTTCTGCCCTTGTGGGCGGGCAGCAGCCCCAGGCCGTGGGGTGCCAGCGTCCCGCGAGCATCAAGCTGACCAAAGACGTTTCCCTCTGTAGGAGACTCCGCTAGACTCGACCTGAATCTTGAGATTTCTAATGGGTGCTGCTGCTGCACGGATGGGAAGGAGCTCGGGGGCCACCCAGCGCTTGAGGGCAGGGCTGAGGGAGAGGCCTCTGTCTCAGGGGTTGGGGAGGCAGAGTGACTGTGGCTGGGGGGAGCCCAGGGCCCCTGAGGGGCCTTCTTTTCTATGCGAGCCTTTAAACTTCACAGGAAGTGTCAACCCCACTCCGAAGACAGAGGGAGCTCCCGGGCAGGAGTGCTGGCTTTGGAAGGGCTGTGGCTTCCTCGCAGCCCCGCCCACACCTACACACAGACCACGCCCCACTGAGAGGGACAGGGCTGATCGCCAGGGGGAGGAGAGGACTCGAGCAAGGAGTGGAGGTCCTGAGAAAAGGAAAATATTTATTGAATAAAACAAAAGTTTCTGTGCCCTTCCTCAGACTATGCTAGTTGTGCGTGTGTAAGAGACCCACGAGCAACTGAGGATGCCGCTGGGGAGGGGGAGGGATCCCAAATTGTCTTTTTGTATTTTTTATTTTGTATTATTGAAAACCTTGGAGATCTAACAAATATACCAAATTCTATATTTTGTAAATTCTCTATATTAGGACGCGGCTGTTCACCGCGGGGCGTGCGTGCTCATTTGTCCTGCGCGCACACCGATGCGCGTTCTGGTGTGTGTGTGTTTCTGCTGTGGGGCTGGGCTCTTACAGGAGCCTGCTGCCCTCACCTCGGACTCGGCAGTTTTGGGTTTTCCCAGGTCCGGCCAGAGCAGTGGCTGTGTCCTTCCGGGGCACCACCGCGTGTTCAGGTTAAGCAGGAAGATAGATGATAGACATAAGACCCCGCCTCTCTCTGTACACACGGACACACACACCGCTTCCCCTGAATCAGATACACACGAAACGATGAGAAGGAAACATAAAGCTGCACTTGCATCTCGTGCTGAGTCGGAACCAAGGGAAGCAGCCTCAAACCGCAGCAGCAGGGAGACTGGCTGCCCTCCGCCCGTCCACTCTCTGCAGGGTCAGCCACGTGGCGCCTGGTGCCCAGCCAGCGTGCGTGTGGGCGGGAGGAAGCCTGCCCGGCTGTCTCAGTTGGCTGAGGCGGCCCTCTCTGGAGCTGATCCCTGAGACTTTTGCATATAATGTGGATCCCTCAGGTTCAGGGAATGAGGGGGGGGGGGGGGTGTGGCTTTGCCCTCCACTTGCAAACCAGAGGAAAGGGTGGTGCCCTGCTAGCAGAAATTTTGATTTGTCTGGTTTTTGTTTTTTGAGGAGGGGACAGTTAAACGTAGCGAGAAAAAAACTTCTATTTTTATACCCAATGAGGGAGGCATTTGGAAAATGATGTGCTATCAGAGAGATGTTCAGGCAGAACCCTTGGGGCCTGTGCCCAGACCTTCTCATTGCTGCTCAGGGCAGAACGCTCCGCGCCCACCCCCAACACAAGGCCGAGGAGGTGAACGTGACTCGGATGCCCGCCTGTACCGCCTGTCACTGGGCACTAGCACCAGCCTCCCCGACCACACACGCCGTCCATCCCGGTGTGAGCACAGCTCTGGGAAGCAAGGCTTAGGGACCTAAAACTGCCAGCCTGAGTCTGTCCGCGCTTTTGCAGTTCCTCCTTTTAGTTCTGCAGGGGCCTCTTGCCCTTGCCGGGGCTGGCTTTCTCCACATACTGTGCTCCAGTCCCCTGCCCATCCCCCTCCCCCATCACCCGCCAGTGGTGCTGGGCTTCGTTTTGCTTCCAACCTGAGTACTGTGTGTGTGCCGCATTCCTCCCGTGTCCCCCCATCGTCTGACCCCCCACCGGCCTCGTGGGGGCCCATCCCCCCTCCCAGCAGTGACTGGTGACCACGTGCAGTGCTAGCTCTTCATTCCCTCTAAGGGGTGTGCACTCTTTTTATTCCTGCTCTTGCAAAATGGATACGATTATGATTTCCCATGGAAATTGAAGTCTATTTAAGTAATTTAACTATTAAACACTTTCACTGGTAATGCGTCCTGGTCTGATTTGCTGCTTGGGCCTGGGGTCTAGCTCCAGCCTGAAGAACAGGGAACTCAGTCCCTGGCTGAGTGATGGAGAGGGAGCTGTGGAGCGCAGGCACCTCCTCTGAGTGGGGGACAGCGCATGGCTGTGAGGAGGGTGCCAGCTGAAGACCATAGTCATCGTGGTCGCCCAAGTCATCGGTGGGAGGACACTGGTGACCCAGGTGAGAGCCAGTTCACAGGACTGAGGGCAGAGGTCTCAGTGCAGAGGCTGAACGGTGAAGGGATGAGGACGGGGAACAGGCGTGAAGAGGATGGGGATGGAGGACGGAGCAGAAAACATCCGGGGTCTGGGGGGGGGGGGGGTTGTTTTAAAACGGGTGAGCCAAACATGTTTCTGTGTGAAGGGAAAGGAAGTTGGAAACAGCAGTGAACCCAGATCCCTGAAAGAACCGCAGGAGGTGGGAGGGGGGAGATGCAGGCTGGCGATGACTCATTCGACCCAGATAGCTAGCGATGGTGGCGGCCATGCACTGAGCACTGGCTGCCAGACTCGGGGTGAGCACCACAGAGGCATCGCATCCAATCTCCTGGCTGCCTTGTTTCACCGACAGAATGGGCACAGAGATTGAGTTACTTTATTTTGCCGTGCATAATGCACATTTTTTTGACCAAATTTTTTAGGGAAAAATGAGGATGCACATTATACATGGGTAGTACTAATTCCATACCTACATAACTTTTAAATTCTTTCATTTATGCTTATGCATTAAAAGTGTAATTCTAGAAAGCAATAATATCCATATGCAAAATAATACCTTGGAATATGATAACTGGTTGTGTTTCTAAATATAAATAAATAATTGAATTAAAAAGTTAAAAAGAAAGTTTTCCTTAAAGTTTGGGCCAAAAACATGGGTGTGCATGGCACACGGGAGTGCATTTTACATGGCAGAATACGGTGTTTGTCTAAGGCCAACCAGCTGGTGATTAACAGAGATGGGCTTCAAAGCAAGCCTGCTTGCTAACCCATGCAGGTAACTTCCTGCGTGCCCCAGCACTGCCCCCCTCGCCCCAGAGGCAGGAAGTGGGGCAGAAGGCGCGGGACCCTTTTCAGCAGCACCTGCCTGCTGCACCCCTCACAGGCAGCGCTCAGGAAACGAGACTAGAGGGCCTTGGTCAAATTAGGTCTAACAACGGTGTGAGTGAAGGAGCCTCTGAACACGGGTCACCGGCTTCACTGCAACAGTAGCCACATGGGGACATAGATGAGGCAGTCTCAGGCACAGGCGGGCCTCCTGCTCCAGAGAATGGGCATCATTAGGACTTCAAATGTGCGTGCTGAAGGATGTACTTGTGTAGAGCTTGTGTTTAACTCAGGATTTTTCCAGGCTGGGGAACGCCAGTTAGGAAAGGAGACCAAATGATATAAGGCAGGTCAAACTTTAGGGGCCGACTGGCCTTGGTGGGAACCTCGGCTCCCAAAGAGCTCCCACCCCGCTGTGGCCAGTGGAGACCAAACCGGCAGGGAACCACACGCATACATGCAGCAGGGCGCCGGCAGGGCACTGCTCAGAACCTTCCCGGGCCCTTCCATCTCCATCCACATCCCCACTGAGCTAATCCCCACAAGAGAACACACTTGTTTCTTCTGTAGAGAGTTACGCTTTTTTCCCCACATACGTACCCATACCTAAAATGTTAATTTAAGACGCCATTGATGTCTGGGGTGAGGTTTGAACACCTCTTTAATGCTCATTGACAGCCAAAACCACTAAAACCAAGACCAGACCCCAGACAATGTGGTGGTGACTTGATTGCAGGAGGGAGTCAGCAGCAGGTAGCAGGAGGCCCGGGGGAGCCTCAGCATACGGGGAAGGCTGGGGCTCCGTGTTCACCTGGTGGCTGCGTTAAAGACTTTCAAAGTTATAAACAGTTACAGAGCTTTTTCAAAATTACGTATCGCCTAAGTGGCATATAGTTAAATCAGTGGAAAATGAGGTTCCAGAGCCTGGACAAGATGCTGAGTCCCTATCAGTGCAGGTCAGGAAAGCACCTGGGTGGTAGGGTGTACAGTGTTCAAAAGTGGGCTGAGCAGACTCTCACTGCCACCTCAGTGAGAGAACCACACGGCTGGGAAGAGCCCTGAAAGCCCAGTTTCTGTATTTGTCTACATCAAAATGACTCTACAGTAAAGAGAATAAACACAGTACATGTCATCCCCAGAAGGAAGGGACTGAGAAGGCTGGGCCGTGCTGGCCGAGGCAAGCACCACTTAGGAAAGGCATCAGGAGAGGAGTCGGAAGAGCTGGGGAGGGCACAGCAGACTGGAGACTACCATCCCCCCACCCCCACCCATTTGGGTGAACTTCCCAAGGCTTGAAGACTTCCACATACGCTTTCTCATTCGTGCTCTCCCCACTCCCGCCCTCCCCCCACCAGGCCTAGGAGGCATGGGGAGAACGGTCTAGTGCGCCCCCTGCAGCTGCCCTGGTCCTTGGGGACAAAAGCTGTGGCACCAGCCCACAGGCACTTTTGTCCAGTGTGCCCATCTGGTGCTGACAACCTTGGCAGACCGAAGAGAGGGCTCGCCACTCCTCAAGGTCGACAGTAGATGAAATGAGATCCAACTATGATAGTACTAGAGCTTTTCTTACTCTTCTAGATTTAAAAAAAAAAAAAAAAGCCCCCTGGTGGTTTTTCCTCTTGGTCTTAAAAAATACCTTTGGTGTCCTCTTGCCTGTCTTCCCTCCTCACTTGTAGGGTCACTGCTGCTCAAGACAGACACAGGAACAAAGCCAAGTGAGGCGGCCGGAGTGGCTAATCTCCAAGGTCTCCTCCTCTGCAGGCTTCTCTGATTCTAAGTATTCATGTAAGTCTTCATGTGATCTTCAAGTGCCAGACCACATGCATGGCACAAACACAAACCATTGAATTAGGATTTTAAGATTTTAGAGGCAGAGGCAGAGACAAATGAGATGAAAGCATTGTGCCATGAGCGATCTGTGGGAAGACCGCCTCCAAACCAAGTTGGGGATGGCTCTGTCCTCCTGCAGACACCAAGCCAGTAGCCACAGTTGCCACGCATGACAGCTTGACTAGCAAGAGCCGCTATCCAAGGAGAGGGGAGGGGTGGGTGGAGATCAGTGTAGGCTCACAGGGCAAGCAGAGGGTCCAGACAGTGGAAGGTGGGAAAAAAGGACTATAACAAACAGGAAAGTAGGCATCCTGTCCTCACTGGCCTGTGAGCCCCAGGCCTCACCCGCACATCTGTTCCTAGTGAGTGGAGCTGAGCCACCCCCTCATTTGGTGAGCACACATGCGTCCCTAAGGCCCCTTTCATATTGCTGGTCTATTAGGCCCATGAATTTAAAGAATTCTCACTGGAATCCATTAGGGACCTCATCACTTTTTTTTTTCCCTCAGCCAGTTTCTAATTTAGGCCTGCCTGGGATCTCTGGTTTGTCAGCATATCTGCTTATTTTAACTTGGACTATTTTCCAATTCTGCAAAATTTGCTTCTCTGCTTTGACTTTGTCAGTTAGCTAGAATGGTACTTCCCTGGCTCACACGGGATTTTCTCAGGGATGGGGGTGGGAAGGGAGGAGTGCATTGACTTCAGATTAATCTTTGTGTTTCCAATCATTTTTTAAAGTATATTTTATTGATTATGCTATTACAGTCTTCCCAATGTTTTCCGCTTTATCCTCACTCTGCCCTGAACCCCTCAATGCACTGACATCCCCCCACCCCTATACCTTAGTTCATGTCCTTGGGTTGTACATACAAGTTCTTTGACTTCTCTGTTTCCTATACCATTTTTTTATCTCTCTCCCTATTTTATGCCTATCAACTTTGCTGCTTCTTCCCTGTACCTTCCCTCCATTCCTCCCTTCCCTCTTCCCACTGAAAACCCTCCATGTGATGTCCATTTCTCTGATTCTGTTCCTTTTCTAGCTGTTTGCTTAGTTTTTGTTTTTCTTTTTTTTTTTTTAGGTTCAGTTGTTGATAGTCGTGAGTTTGTTAACCTTCTACTATTCATAGTTTTGATCTTCTTTTTCTTACATAAGTCCCTTTAACATTTCATATAATAAGGGCTTGGTGATGATGAACTCCTTTAACTTGACCTTATCTGAGAAGCACTTTATCTGCCCTTCATTCTAAATGAAAGTTTTGCTGGATAGAGCAATCTTGAATGTAAGTCCTTGCCTTTCATGACTTGGAATACTTCTTTCTAGCCCCTTCTTGCCTGCAAGGTCTCTTTTGAGAAATCAGCTGATAGTCTTATGGACACTCCTTTGTAGGTAACTCTCTCCTATCCTCTTGCTGCTTTTAAGATTCTCTCTTTATCTTTAATCTTGGGTGACTTAATGATGTGCTTTGGTGTGTTCCTCCTTGGGTCCAACTTCTTTGGGACTCTCTGGGCTTCCTTGATTTCCTGGAAGTCTATTTCCTTTGCTAGATTGGGGAAGTTTTCCTCTATTATGTTTTCAAATAAGTTTTAAACTTCTGGTTCTTGTTCTTCTCCTTTTGGCACCCCTATGATTCAGATATTGGAATTTTTAAAGTTGCCCCAGAGGTTCCTAAGCCTCTCCTCATTTTTTAAAATTCCTGTTTCTTCATTCTGTTCTGGTTGGATTTTTTAATTCTTCATTTGGTTCCAGATCGTTGACTTGAGTCCTGGTTTCCTTCCCATCACTGTCAGTTCCCTGAATATTTTGCTTTAGTTCACTTTGGGTAGCCTTCATTTCTTCCTTCATTTTTCGACTGAGCTCAATCAGTTCTGTGAACATCCTGATTACCAGTTTTGAACTTGCATCAGATAGGATGGCTATCTCCTTGTTGCTTAGCATTTTCTGGATTTTTGATGTTCTCTCATTTGTGCCCTATTTTTTTTGTCTCCGTGCACCTGTTATGTTGTAAGGGGGCAGGTCCCTAGGTATTCACCAGGGCAAGGCAGCCCTCTTTGCTGCATTGTGGTGCTGTCTGTGGGGGAGGGGATCAGAGAG